CAAGAACAAGAGACGGATTTTGAAAAGAAGAAACTTGGTATGAAAGGAAGGACTAGAATAATATTAAGAGAAAGAAGTGAAAAAAGATGATAAAAAAATAAGAGCATCGAAGAGGACAAAAAAAAAATAAAAATTAAAGAGTCAAAAAAGAAGAAAAAAGCAAGAAAAGCATGAGGATAAAGGAAAAAGTAGAGAGAAAAAATAAAATGAAAAGAGAGAGGAAAAGAAAAGAGGAAACCGGCTAAATGAGAGAAGAAAGAGGGTAATAAAATGAGAAGCAAGCGAAAGATGAACAAGGATGAGAAATAGAGAACGAAGATGTAGGAAAACGAAGTTGGAAGCCCCAGATGCAGCAATAATGAGAAATAAAAAAGCGGCCATGACAAAATTATGAACGAAAGAAAAAAAGACAACGTTATACAGTAGAAAGAATGAGGACGATACAACAATACTAACGAATAGCCGGAATAAAACACAACGGTTTGTTAAATCGGTACAAGATATAAACCCGTCACAAAACTTTAAAAATAAAAGCGAAACCGTATCAGGGAAGCTTCACTTGACAACATTGCAATATTATTGCTTTAATCGCAAACCACATAACAAAATTAGAGGAAGATTATGATAAGGAGGAAGAGGAGAGAAAAAGGAAGCGATGGAAGATACGGAACAATACAAGAGGATAGCGACGAAGAGGAGGAGAAGAAACAAGAGAAGTGGAATGTGCAAAAAAAGCAACAAGAAGACGATGAAAAGAAAGTAGATGATTAATTGTAAGAACAAAGTGAAAAGAAGAATGCGAGAAAAAGATAAAGGAAGCAGGGGAGAAAAGGAAAAATGAGATAAAAAAGGATGGAGTATGGAGAAGAAAAAGAGCCAAGAAATATATATGTACAAGAGCAAGACATCAAGAAGGTAAGCGGATACCGAGGGAAAGAGAAAGATATGCGATTATAGAACTTAGGGAGAGTAAATAAAGGAGAAACAATAAAAAAAGCGCTAAGCAGAAAATTAAGAACCAGAGGCAAATACGAAAAAAAGAAATGGTGAAACTATTAGAATAATATTACAGTGATTCAGTGATGGATGATCATGAAAAAGCAGAAAAAGGAGGTGAAAAAGAAAACCGGGAAGAAGATAAGAAATACAAAAAAAAAGAAAAGTGAAGAGAGAAAAAAGGAAATTAGGCAGGTAAAAGAAACACTAGAAGAAGCATGCGAGAAGGACGTAGGCTCAGGTGCGAAAATGGATAACAAAGAGAAATAAGATTTAAAAGGAAGGAGATGGTGAAGAATAGGATTGGGAATGAATAAGATGTAGGAGATGAAAGAGCGAAAATTGTAATCAGAAGGAGAGGCGAAAACAAAAGAGGGAGAGAAAATATACAATGTAGATGAGATGAATGTTAAAGGGAGATAAAAGAGAAGAAAGATAATGTAAAACAAATGCCGATACGGAGGAATAGAAGGAAGAAGTGTGTAAAGGGTAGAAGAGGAAAAGGTTATAGTGAAAAGTTCACAAAGAGAAATGGAAAAAGAAGACGAAATAGAACACGGGTAGAGGTAGAATCAGAAGCTAGAAGAGCAAGAAGAGTAAAAGAGCCAGGAGAAGAAAGAGGGGGTAGAGGAAGGAGAATAAGAAGAGAAAAGAGGACGAGAGGAATGAAAAAAGAAAAACAGACGAGGAAGTCGTCGATGGGCAAACATGAGTACATGCGTAGTGTGGGAACATTCAGAGGAAAAGGAAGAAAAAAATACACAAGTCAAAATACTAATCGACGAGTGGGGGGAGAACATAAGCATTGCAAAAGCCATTTCCAGCGACGTGACGTCATCATCCGTACGCGTATAACTGAAGCGGTCCACCTAAAAAGTTAGCAACAAACGACGATAGGAAAAAATAAAGTGGAAAATCTGAATATGAAGTATTACGACCCCGTATATAAGTCGACCAGCATTGCTGAGCACCCGGTTTTGAGAAGCGTTAAAAGCTTGGCGCTTCGTTACTAAGTAGTTTCTGACTTTGCTTATTTGCTTTAAATTGTTTTTGCAGACGCTGAAAGTTGGTGTAACCGAGAAGGAGAAGACGAATTAATACTTTTTACATGTCATCAGTCTGGCCGCCTGCATGTGTTTAGATAATGATAACAGTCGGTGTGCCGGGAAAAGACCAATTAGACCTCGTTGTTAATTGGATTAATGAGCGACTCATTGGGTAAGCATGGTAAATTACTAACGTTTTAATGACTTCCAGTGAACGTTATCAAAAACAATCGTGAGAGGTGTCTCCGGAATTATTTGATTAAATCTCCGTTTTTAAAGAATGTACTTGATAACCTAGATCTAGATAACCTACGTCAAAATAAAACAAATGAATGTGTACGTTTAGGGTAGGGTAGAATGTTTTATCCCCCCCCCCCCCGCAAGAGGCTACCGTAAGACGTGAAAAACACTTTTTTGTACTCATTGAATGGAAAGATAATGTTTCCAAGCATCCTCGATGCACGGGAAAACGACTTTCCCGCATCGCGGTGTTTTTTAGTTTCCGCTGGAGAGAAGGGGTTATGCGCGTTCTTCGGTTGGTAGTACTTATTGAAGTCAACGAACGTCATGTCATGGTTAACTGTCATCTGCTGTAAAATCAATTAAACCGTTGGTTGAGGGTATTTAGTGCGATTAATCGGAAACAGACGTACACTAAGTTTTACGTAAATATATAAACAAGAACTTATAACGCAATCAAATTATTTTTCAGAATTGGAACTCAAGAAAAAGTAAAATTTATTGTTAAAACGTCTTAAAATGTGACCAGTGATATTCTGCAACTATTCGCATATTATGCAGTTTAAGAAAGCACATATTAACACACACAAAGCTTCCAAGGATTTTAAATGTAACGAGTGTATTTACGCAACTCAAGATATTCAGTGCAAACGATGCAATGCCGTGACCCAGTAGCACTCATTGCAAAGGCAAAATATGTATTAACCAAAGATGTGGAAGTTTTAAATGTGACCAGTGCATTATTAAAAGTGGGTAGTTACAAAATTATGTTACCAACCAAACATATGATTGTGTTACCAACTCATGATTAAAAAAAAGCTAATTTACAAAACTATTAATTTTGACCTTTTTTTACGTAATTCGTTACAAAAAATATTGTACCTAACTCTTTCGGAAAGAATTTTCCCGCATTCGCACTAAATGCAGCACTCCCTACGGTCGTGCTGCAAACAAAGTGCTCATGCGGGAAAATTAACTTACCGAACTTGTTAGGTAAATAACTATTTCGGGCCGGAACGGGAAGTTATTCGACTTGGGTACTTTTCAATGTGTCTTTGTGTGCGAGGCGAAGCCGAGCAATGTGGTCTGCAAGTGTAAGATTGGGCGTCATCCACATTCGGGGTTAGTTGTGCCCCTCTCCCCCGCACTACTTATAGATGACCATTTTGGCGTTTATTACAAAACGACGAGGACTAGAATCATGCCTTTTTTTACGTTGGATTCATATATCGCTCGGTCGCATTTTAGAATCGACAGCGATTTGTGTAAATCCGTGAGGCGAGGCGGTGAAATGTGTCCTCTGTATGTACGATATAAGCGTAAGACTGGATGGCATTCTACATTCAGGTTACATGTAACCCCGCACCCCTCCAATAGCCTCTGCGCATGCGCACAAAAACGCAACTTTCTTATACAGGGTGCCCATTATGTATGGAATATAGCATATACCTCCGTAAATATTGACTGTATACATAATTTTTCGTTATGAAAGTTGTTTAGCATTTTATTTCCCATAATAAGGCAGCATTCCATTGTTTTTATTTCAGAAAACAAATTGATATCGAAAAACAATTGAATTTTTTTAAACACGCTTTCATTAGGCTCATTTGATAGATATTTTTTTCTCTTTTCAATGACGTACCACGTTAGCACACGTGTAGAAAAAATTAATTTTTATTTCAAGCTTCTTGTAAGACGTGAAAAACCATCGAAAAGAGAACAAAATCACTATCAAATGAGCCTAATAAAAAGGTGCACTGCCATTTAAAAAAATTCAATTGTTTTTCGTTACTCATTTGTTTTCTGAAATAAAAACAACTGAATGCTGCCTTATTACGGGAAATCAAATGTTCAACAACTTTCATATAGAAAAATTTTGTATACATCCGATATTTTTGTTATAATTATAATGAATTTATTGTCTAACAGCAAAAAAACAAAAATTAAAGAAAAAAAAACAAAAATAGAAAATTTACTCAGATATATAGGATATTCCATACATAATGGGCACCCTGTATATGGAGCAATTGAATCCAAATTTCTATGGTAATTCGCTCTAATAAATACAAACAAAATGCATACGTAGAAAGTCGTACTGCGCATGCGAAAAACTCAACATTCTTATTTATGTCAGTAGGTAAATGATAAAGAATTGGTGTACAGTTAAAACAGAATCGTATGTCACCTACAGCATGGAACGAAACAAGATAGCATACAGCATCCAAAACCGAAAAAATAAAGATTCATTTCTACCAACGTATACGCCGAGTGTGACTAAAAAAGACTACTATCGATATATTGGTGCTTTTTTGAGCCGAATCAAAATTCTTTTCCTTTGGTTTGCGTATTTTATAAAATTTCAACGTTACTTAAAAACAACTCCAACGACAATCTTACAACAATCAAGCCAAAAAACAAAAAGTTGACAAACGGAAAACAATAAAAAAACGGCGTTTGCTAACAAAACGGCGGTGATAGGTCCGTATATCTAGTTATCCAATATGGTGGTAGGTACATTCGTTATCGGAAGAAATTGGACTGGAACCTGCCTGTTGTGTTAGAGAGATAAGTACACACTTAACGCATTTCATTATTTACAGTACGATACAGGTTTGTGTATTTATTTGGCTGTGTGTGGCAGTTTTCTGGAGGGACCAATTCACTTTGATCAAAATCTGTACCCTCGCCGGCGCGTAAAAAAATTTAAAAATCACATACCGTTCGGCCAGTTCCATGCTTGAACAGTCTTTGCAGTTTCTGGACAATTTCGCCCATTTTTAGTCTAATCTAAAAAGTGAAAATCGGCGTTAAAATCACAGTCCATTGCACTTCGACGGATTTACTTATTGCTGATTCGATTCGGTCGCATTCAAGTGTGTCGGTAAAGAAAGTAATCTTGCGCGCGTTATCGCGACCAATGGTACCAAATCTTAGATTCAAAATGCGGCATCGGGCTACCAGAGTAAAACTGATTGATATTACATATTATTTATATCGGCGATTATTGACGGGTGGTGGTAAGTTGCGCGCAATTTTCGACTTTTGTTCGCGGGAGATTAAATATCAGCCGCGGTACTTGTCTTGCGGAAGCCGCAATTCCAGTTATGATCGTTTGCAATTTTTACTTGTCCGATATTAATTACGCAATGTCAAGGTTATGACGTACCTATCTGTACAATCGACAATTTTCCCTCGGACGCCCGCCGTCGGAAAAACACTGCATCTCCAAACTGGTAGCGTTATAAATTACATCCGCTCTAAGCGAATTGGATTAAAAGTAATTTTTGAACGTGACCGGACGGCCGAAAGTAAACTTTCCACTTGTCACCCTTTTACGTCTAAAGAGCAGCAATGGTTAGGGACCGGCACCACAAATTTAATACAACAATTTGTGTTGCGCGATTGTTATAAAACTTATTGTTGGTTCATTGGTTGTTAAACAAATATGTATATTTATCGTTCATAAAATTGTAACAATGACAAGGTTAACCATTCAGCGACTTGACTTCCTCCATTGGAAACTACGCTCAAGCCTTAATTGCCGATTTAAAACAAAGCTCGTTAACGGAAACGTATCGGTTAATCTACGTTAACCGCTGAATTGATTCGTGTCCATAGGAATATTGTGAAAATTGGTCTACCAATCAGAGGGACTGAAAGGAGTACGAGTGCGAAGATACCACAAAAATGAAAAACGTGGAGAAAACACGGAATTTTGGCAACCTTAAATTTTACGCTTACCTTGAAATGCATATTATCAATAAAACCATTTATAGGTATATGCAAATGTGTACTTGCAAAGTCACCCTATTTGTCACACTTAGGAATGTCACGTTCCTTTATACTACTTATCGGCACCCAATGTGAAGTTGGCCCCGCCCACACGAAATAATTTGACAAAAATGTGTTCTAAGTGCTCTTTAGTGCTCGAAGCTTTTCGTTAGTGCTGCTACATAACCCGAAAGAAATAAAAAACAAGTATAAATTGTGTGTTTCTTGCAGACGTCTCGATCGCCCTTTGTGAGTACCCTCTTCCGACATTCCGTTCTTGAGGTATAAGGGAATATACCCGATCACGATAAGAGGTCGAGGAGGAGAGCTATGGTTGGTAGAAATTAATTCCTTTCGTTGAGACCTTTCATTAGAGTACCATGAAGGATAAAACTAGTTCCACCCCCCCCCCTTCTCTTCCACCACGTACTTTGATAAGAGGACAGAAAGAAGGGCAGTGGGTGGTAGAAAACGGTTCCTTTCGTTGAGACCTTTAATTAGAATACAATGAGAGATAAAATTAATTTTTACCCCCCCCCTCTCCCAGACCCCGTCGCTCAATGATCTCGGAAAAGAGTCGCACGGGAAATTTATAGTTTGTACAAACCAATTTATTTCGATGAGACCTTTTATTAGAATACCATGAAGGGTAGAACACGTGTTTCGCGTGCTTGGCACCACTAAAGGCATGCATATGCAAAATCTGAGACCATTAATAGTGTGTTCTCAGTATATTCTTGGAATATGCTAAACGAACGCGTACATTTGTGGAACATTCTGTGGATATTTGGAATATTCGCATACATGTTAAAAGAATATTCTCCACTCTTATCTGGGTATGATTCCGCGATTCTATGGTTTACATTATCTAGGAGTGTATGGAACGTGAGATACCCCAACCTTAGCAACGTCCTGTGAATATGATTGTCGATACGAAGCACCCTATACATCATGTTATTTACACAAGCTTGTGATGTTGAACCCCTACCGATAGGCAACACATCTTACTACTAAAGGAATTTTAAAATCCCGTTTTGCGCAGACGTGAATTTAGTACGGGAAGCTGGTGAGTGGCGTCGGCGGGAGCACTGGTGGTCCAGATTTTGATGGTGGCGTATCGGTTTTGTGTGCTTTTCATAGTTTAGTGTTTGATATATTTTTCCAAGCGACATCAAGGTAGCACTCGTTTTATTTAAGCTTTTTTTTAAATTCGATGTTTAAATTTCATGCCTTATTTGTTTTCGTTTTGAACTTTGCTTTAGATTTGACCTCTGCTGATTGCAGGCATGGCGTGGGCGGCTATTGTTTGAGTTTACCGTTAAATGAGTCATATTTTAGCTTGGCTCCTTGTGCACCTGATTATGCCGCAATGTTTCCCATGATTATTTGAATGTGTTTACGCAGGCTGCAGTTCTTAGCGTCTCGCATTGCGAGAAAGGGGGGCCCTCTGATTAATTATTATTACTTGATTTTTGTTGTACGATTTGAGATGTTTGATTTTCGTATTTCTGTTTGTACATTGTTACCTGTAATTGATTTATTTCTTGTATTTGTGTTTAGCCAGGTTTTTTTATTGCTGGTTCTTTTTTCCTGGCTTTTCGGTTTGGATTTGCTCTGCTGAACCAAGCCCCGTGCGTAATAAATTTTCATTTTCTCTTTCCCTTTCGGACGCACAAAAATTCTGTCTTTTATTTAATTCCCTTCCCGATTGTGTCTCACGTACAAACGCATAAAAGACCGCCATAGGAAAATGACAACGTAGGAGTCCATTCGTTCAAGCCGAATTTTACCGAGATCTGAAGGTGGCGCGAACGTCCGACATTTTGACAGCTAAAGTTAGATCGCGCTGTCTGCAATTTTGTTTCCCCAGAGTTGCCAACTGTAAGTACAGGGTAAGTCAATATTTTCAGTGTCGGCTTGATAGACCCCCCAGGAACACTACAAGCTGCCAACCGAAATCTGGTGGGATTACAGAAAAGGGAAAGAGAGCGACGATGAGACGGATGGAATTTCTCGGAAGACCACATGTGTTTACCATTTCAAACACCTGCAGTCCAGTTTTTTCCTAGAAATGCGTGAAATGCAAGGAATGGACGATTTTCGGGTGGTTTTTAGGGGTGTTACGAGATCAGAGTTACAGAGTCGCTTGGGGTAGTCAATTAATACGATTTAACATGTGTGTCCGTGGTCTTTTTTTCTTGTAACCTGCTTAAGTGTAAAGTACGGCTTATGTTGAAATATTTTGTTATACCTTAATCGCTACTGTGTGCTTTTGTTTTTTATATTAATTAATAACGGTCTTTATTAATTTTGTTTTTGATAGCCACGAAAAATACATTGCCTAGGGCGAGATTCAGGAGTAGAAAGGCTACCCCTGCTCTTCCATCTAACCCATAATGATTCCACTTGATCCACAATGTTGTGGTCATTAAGTACGTAGAGATATAACATGGATTTTACAAGACATTGAATCACAGAAAAGAAATAAAAATATTAAAAATAAGATAAGTAAAATAGAAACAAAATTCAAAAGTGCTCTAATTATTATTGCCGTAGCAATGCGAGTTCTAAATGCTTTGAAAGTGTACTTACTGATGTCCATATATATCAGGTGAGATATTTACTTCATTCAATTAATCTATAAATGTGTGTAACTTGAATGAAGATTGTAACCCTTTACTTATGTACTTACTGGATTCAACCACTTGTACCTCTTAATGTCTAACCTTTGTTGGTATTGGCAATCATGTTTCATTGTCGGTAGGACTATATCTGTACTGTACATACTTGCATGTGTACATATTTGTGTATTGTGCTTTTTAGTCACTCTCGATTATTTCATGGCATTTCATTATATTTGCTTATTTTGGGCTGCGAGTAATCAAGAGGGAAGTGTGCTTGTTTAGAGGGGATCGAGTTATTCAAGTTTATACGGGCCTTGGTGAACCTAACACTAACATTTTCACTCGTTCCGAAACCCATCAACTTTAGCCCACGTCTACAGGCACCCCACTGGGCCTGGGTAATCCTACCGTCCGGCGAGGCATATTTAATATCTCTTAGTTTTGTCTGATGTATGTGTTGTAATACTTGGGGAATGGCTCGATTCCATTTTGGTTACTCATGGCGTGTATGTAGTATTTACCCCGGTTTCGAGAGGGCTCAAAAGTGCTGTACATTGGATGTTAGCTGTAGGCTTTGTTCATTATAGGACTACTCCGAATTAGGTTTTCCTGCAGTTTTCCTAATTCGTAAGGTAAATGCCGGAGTAGTATAGAACCACTTAAGACCCTCTGCAGGGGCACCGTTTTGGTATTAGCTTCAATATAATCTTAACCAGCTATTGCTTTTGGTGTTCCTTGCCCATAAAACGCCCTCAGTACCTGCTGAGTTGTGTAATAACACAACATAGGTGTCCTACATGACGATCACGATCTTAGTGCACTCGGAGTCGCCCTCGAGTGATAGATTCTCGCGGGAAACTTAAGCGAGAATATTCAAATAGGCAGCCATGTTAGTTTGGCATTCCCGCTACTACAGAATATACCCTATGAATTATTTCCCGAGATACTATTTTTGAAAGTAAAAAACGTGCATAAATTTTTCATGTGGCAACTAATTTGCATGCGCATGCATTTAATGGTGTCAATTTAAACTTTTCAAAATTGGGGGGGGGGGGGGGGAGTAAACATACATTCTACCCTTCATGGTATTCTAATGAAATCATGAATTCATTTCTACCAACTATAATCTTCTCCTCTTCCTACGTATCTCCTTTTTGAGATCAGTAGCTGACGGGGGGAAAGGAGGGGGGGGGGGGGATTTTATCCTTCAAGGTACTCTAATGAAAGGAATTCATTTTTGCCAACCATAGTCTTCTCTACCACTCCTTATATGATCGTTTATAATTCCTTATATCTCAAGCATTTTTATCCCTCTTTAATTCATATTCTCGTCAACATAAAAAAAATTTTCAAATATACCGCTTTATAGCGAACAGGAACTAAATTACGTCTGGAAATGCGATAACGATTTATCTTTCGAGATCAGCGAGGGGTGGGGGGTCGTGCTAAATTGTTGGAGAAAATTGAAGCAGAACCGGTTTTATACTTGACTGGAACCAAGAACGGCTACTGCTATTTATTTTTACCAAACCCAATCGTGTAATTAACGTTTTGTGAATCAATTGGTGACAAAGTGCGAGTAATTGGAAGCCTAATTTATACCAAGGTCATTTATTTGTGTGTTAAAAAGTGATAAAATTTACGCGAGGGGATATTTTCGAATTGGAGACCCGTTCTTCACATACAAACGGAATTAAATGTATTGAATTTAAAAACAGAAACTTTTTCGTCGTTCGCATCGTTAACGATTAGCGACAACACTTTTATTCCAGTGCATAATGACAACAGCGCGTATTATTTTCCCGAAATTGGAGCTGGTTTCTTGGCGTTTGTAAAACGATGGTTTTTACTTGGCATTCAGTTAACGTTACCAGGGTGGTATTAAAAGTTAACTGTTCTGTATATTTTTCAATTTTGTCACTCCATGAACGGAAATGGGAGAAATTTAGAGAAATTAGAAACTAGTTGCAGCAATGATTGCGAAACCTACTGACTAGTCTACCTTAAAAAGAGAGTTTTTAGAAGTGGTTCCCTGCAATTCGAAAACGAAAACAGGCAGCGATGTCAAATCTTCGCCAATCAGTGCCATTGATATGAGCCGGATTAAAAGTCATGTTTCCGAATACAATAAGCCGAGTGTCAAAAAAGTCCCCTACTGAAAATCGCATGTGATTTTAGGTATCTGGTTTTAGCTTATCGTAGCTCTTTTTAAACAATGCAAATTGAACGACATTATTCTTACCTTCTTGGTTTAAACACACTCAACACAAAATAATGATGCTGCACGGTAACGAGTTAAATTACAAATAAAATGCAAAGGTTGAGTTAGCGAAATAATTAACCGCCCAATTCATTATTTGGCAAAACAATAACAAATGATTAAAAAATTAATGGCAACATTTAAATAGCAAGAGCTTTGTTGTTTATTACATTTGCGAATGCATGATTTGTTATTTGAATTATTCAAACGCATTGTATTAATTTATCCTTAACGGTAATTTCTACTCAATGGACTTGCAGTTGAAACAAGATACGAAGAATCGTCTACGACTTTTAGTAGGGGAATTTTTGCCTCTCGGCTCGCAATCGGAAACCCGACTTTTAATCCGGCTCATATTCAATGGCACTGATCCTTGAACTCGTAGGCATCGATTGGCGAAAGTTTTCCATCGCTATCTCGTTTCGAGTTAGACGAGGAACAGACGGACAAAACCATCACATAAGGGGATTTTTTTTCTTTCAAAAAACTCCCCTATAAAAATGAATGAGGCTGTCATCCCACTATCCGTCACTGAAAATAACTTCAAAATGTCACCAAAACTACATTTAAGAAAAAACAAAATCTACATAAACACTCGGTTTGCCCAAAAGTATAAGAGACTCGAAATTTACTGGTTTCATAAACACACGTTTACTAGAAACCGCGGCGCCACGTTCCTCTGTTAATCCGTTCTCTGAATCTGAAAATGTTCTTTTGCAAAACGTGTAGCGGTAAGGTGCAAACCCCCGTGCAAACTTACGAGAGTTGACTCTTTTAACCGCCCGACGCGTAAATTTTTTTGACCGCTCTACGCGAATGCTATCGTGTCTTAACGCGCATTGTCCAAAATGCTTACGTACAACCTTCCCCACCAATAAAACTCATAATGCAGGTCCGTACTTAAGAAAATGAATTTGATGATTGCTCCAAAGAAAAACCGAGACGTCGAAATTAAAATCTAATTATGCCAGCTTATAGAGAGAAAGTAAAGTCACAAAGAAGTACAAAGAAATTTTACAAATTTCGTTTTTTTCCGGTAATATTCGGACTTCCTGCACTCTCTAAGCAGCGTTAGATGCAGCCTAAAAATACGCAATTGTCATCATTTAACCGACTTCGTGGTTCTTACCTTTTCGAAATCCCAATACTCTAATTTGGGACACCCTGTACAGTGTACAGAATACTCAAACTGTATAGCGAAATTTTATAGAAAGACATTTGTGTCAAGAAAACGTTCCAACTCTTTGTAACTATTTGTTACATTACTGGATCCGAAAACCCTACGTTATCTTTCCTGGACGCGTCACTACTCTGCTTTAGTTTTTTAAAACCGCCTACAAAATGGTGTTAATCAATTAAATCGGCCATTCACTAACCAATCGGCTTTGTTTCTTTACTACAATCAAATGTGTATGAATGCCATATATCAAAACCCACCATTAAGATTGTGTTATTGCCCGTCAGACTTCTCCCTGCCAATTAACGAGTAATGATACATCTGAGAACCAGTGACCCATATAGATCGACAATTCTATTAAAAACCCATTCAGCATAACAAAATCAAGCCCTCTAATGAGAACACTCTGTATACCAATGTGAACCAATAATTATGCGATTAGTCGGAAGAACAAAAACGAAGATTGCAAATGGATCTTGTGATCAACTTCATTTTTCGTAGTCCCAATGGCTTTTTGTGGCAGTAATTGATTCGCAGCTCAGTATAGCGTTATGGAATGACATCTTAAAATCATCCCCAGGCGATTTGCTTAGGTAATTCAATTTGCGCGCAAAAACTAACTCATAAATACAAGCGAAGTAGACTAATTGAGCTGTTTTAATATTATTTTAATTAATTAAGTCATGAAAGAAATTATTACCCGTAAATCTACAAAAAATATCGTTTAACGGATGTTAGACAGAGAGAGACAGCGCGCATTTGTTGGCCAATCCTTCTTAAGCTCAAGGCGCATTCCATGGATTATTTTAATTATCACGATGAGGAAAAAAAACGGCCATTAGCATCACGTAATAACATTGTGACTATTTTCAAAAAGAATCATCGGCAGTTATCGTTGCAGACCTTTTGGAGAATTTTTAGAATCGTTACCAAATTAGATTTCATCCTCTGTAGCCAATTACACGATGATGAATTTGGACCCTCTTTTTGCTCAATCAAATTACATTCACTGCTGCCAAATTTGACGGTGCATTAGTGCCCATTCCAGATGCTTAGATTCTTTTCTTTGTTACTTATTTGTACGTATTCTCAGATATAAAAAGTTAATAAAATTAAACCCCGTGAACTTCGTACCGTTTCGTTCGGTTTCGGCGACTGCGCCGCTTCACCTCGCGCACCCGGCGAACTGTCGCCCAATGTTTCCTTGGATGGTATGTACGCTCAGTATTTCTATACAATTTCAAAAACACTTACTTTTATAGATGTGTTCACGCAATTTGATTCAGGAACAAACCGTGCTTCAGGCTTACTTTGATTTAATTAGTTGAACTTTGACGCAGTGTGTACATCTCAAAAATGTAGGTACCTTTGCATCAGTAAACAAAAAGCTTGAATAAATTGTCTTTAACCCTTTTACCGGTAGCCGTTTTGTTCACAATTTTGTCCGCAATTCATATCAACAAATGAGACGCACAACTTTGATTAATAAATGGTTTTTTTACGTTAACTTGCCACTACAAATCTGGCGCAACAGAAATCTTTTGCACCTTGGACCATAACACTAGCGTGATGTAGGGCGCTTTGACAAGGGAGGGGGAGTCTTTTGTATCTCGCAAAAAGAAGTAAAATTTTTAATTTGCGTTTAATATCGAATATTAAAGGACACTAATCGAAAATCAGTTGTTTGATTTATTTAAACAGATAATAATTAAGACCGTAATAATAGTGCAGTAACAAAAATAATGTACCTATCCCTATTTAAAAGGTACTTGAATAAAAGGTAGCACCTGTGATTATTCCGTCTAATATTGTACCTATCCCAAAAGATATTGCTCAATCTATTATTTATGTCATATTCACAATTAGCACATTTAAAATTTTAGATTCTTCTATGTTTTAAAAGATGCTGTTTAAGATAGGTTTTACTTTTTGTTCGAAAAACACAAGTGGCACATTTAAATTCCTTACAAACTTTATGACTTAGCAGATGTCGTGTGAGGTAACGTTTAACATTTGTCTCATAATTACAATCGGCACATTTAAAATTATTAGAAACCTTATGTTTTAAAAGATGTCGGGTGAAGTAGCATTTAACATTTGTCCTATAATCACAATTAGCACATTTGAAATCATTAGAAACTGTATGTTTCAAAAGATGTTGTCTCAAGTTGCGTTTATCGTTTGACCCAAAGTCACCAGTAGCACATTTAAAATCTCTGGAAATTTTATGTTTTAAAATATGTCGTTTGAAGTAGCGTTTAATTGTTCCATAAACACAATTAGCACATTTAAAATTCATACAAAGTTTATGTTTTAAAAGATGTTTTTTAAGCTGCGTTTATAATTTGTCCCATAATCACAAGTAGCACATTTAAAAACCTTACAAACTTTATGTCATAAAAGATACTGTCTTAAGTACCATCCTACAATAACAAGTAGCACATTTAAAATCTTTGGAAACCTTATGTTTTAAAAGATGTTGTTTAAAGTTACTTTTATCATTTGTCCCATAATCACAAGAAGCTCATTTAAAATCCTTGGAAAGTTTATGTATTAAAAGATGTTTGAGGGCCTCTATATATGTTTCATAATCATAAGTAAGTAGCACATTTCAAATCCTTAGAAACTTTATGTTTTAAAAGATGTCGGCTGAAATAGCGTTTAACATTTGTCTTAAAATCACAATTAGCACATTTGAAATCCTTTGAAACTTGGTGTATTAAAAGATGTTGTTTGATCCTCTCTTTAAGATTTGTCGCATAATCACAATCAGCACATTTAAAATCCTTAGAAACTTTATGACCTTTATGTCTTAAAATATGGTGTCTTAAGTTGCGTTTATCATTTGTCTCAAAATCACAAGTAGGGCATTTAAATTCTTTAGAAAGTTTATGGATTTTAATATGTCGTTTTAATCTGCCTTTATAATTTGTCCCATAATCACAAGTAGCACATTTAAAATCTTTAGAAATTTTATGTCTTAATAGATGTACTTTCAAGAGATGTTTATTATTTGTCCCATAATCACAAGTGGCACATTTAAAATCCATAGAAACTTTATGTCTTAAAAGATGTTGGTTGAAGTACTGTTTAATATTTGTCCCATAATCGCAATTAGCACATTTAAAATCCTTCGACACTTTATGTTTTAAAAGATGTCCTTTGAAGAGATATTTATTATTTGTCTCATAATTACAAGTAACACATTTATAATCCTTAGAAACTTTATGTTTTAAAAGATGTTGTCTTAAATTGCTTTTATCATTTGTCTCATAATCACAAGTAGCACATTTAAAATCCTTAGAAATTTTATGTCTTAATAGATGTTGGTTGTAGTACCGTTTAATATTTGTCCCATAATCGCAATTAGCACATTTAAAATCTTTTGAAACTTTATGTTGTAAAAGATGTGTTTTGAAGAGGTATTTATTATTTGTCCCATAATCACAAGTAGCACATTTAAAATCCATAGAAACTTTATGTTTTAAAAGATGTATTAAAGTGCGTTTATCATTTGTCCCATAATCACAAGTAGCACATTTCAAATCCTTAGTAACTTTATGTCTTACAAGATGTTGTTTGAAGTACCGTTTAATATTTGTCCCATAATCGCAATTAGCACATTTAAAGTCGGAGTGTTGCTGTACCTCTTCCACAGTTAACGCTTCTTCATTAACAAGAGATTTAGAGCATGGTGTACTAATAGTAGTTTCCTCCTTTATTGCCACCAAACATTCATTGCTTACTGAAATGTGTCCCTGAAGAAAGGAATGAAGATCTTTTTCTTGTTTTGGCTCGATTTTAATGAGTAGTGTATCACTATTTCCATCCATACCTAACAACAATAATGTTATAAATAGGTAATGTGTTAAAAATCTATGTTGGTTTATCACTAATGTATTTTGGCATTAAACAATACAGAACAAGACCCCAGGGCAGGGAGTAACAGAATTTGTTATAATCAAACGTTTGATTTTTTTTCAAAACTTTGTATAGAATGGCACGATTTTCACCTGCATATCTGGGGCTAAAGTGGCTTCCCTAGGGAAAAAAGAAGTGACGTCACGCAAATTTGCGCGAATCACAAGCCAATTAGAGGAAAAAATCAAAAACAGATATAACCAATCACAAATTATACTAATTATTTGTATCTACTTTAGAAATACGATTACCTATGCAATAATGGGGATATCCACACTAGTGTTGTTAATTGTTTTAACGCAATGTAATTTTAGTCTCATTTATTTAGTTTGTGTACAAAAAAAAACATTTAAGGTTACACATGATTTGGAAATCGATAGCGACGATAGCCACTTTTGATAATTTCAACCATAGACTCTATCTATTTGGCGTACAAACTATTGCCTAACCTCAATATTCCCCTTTCAATGTGCAAACCTGTTTAATCAAACCTAATTCAGTTCTATGTTTATTAAATCACAGCATACATATAACATCAATGTATTAAAAAAGTAGTCTCTTGTAAAGGCCGTTTAGACGATGCAATTTTTATTGCAACTATTGCTGCAATATGCGATGATTACACTATGCAATTTTTGTATACAACATTCTAATTATACATATATTGGTACCACTGGATAAAACCAAATTGAAAACGAGGTCAGTTGTAGCCATATATATATTCTCTTAATTTAATATGGTTGTAGCTCACGAGTCTTTTGGTTGGTGCATAACGTCAAAACATGTGTAGGATGACGTCGTATTTAAAATGACGTCTACATCACCTGACGTCATTTTTTAATTGTTTAATGACCTATTATAGGTATAACCCAGAAATTCACGTGATTATCACATCACCTTGTTTAATGGGCGAAGATCCATTTTCGGTATCTGAAATGCTATAAAACAGACTACTGCTGCTTATGTATAAATTTTATTTTATTGCAATCTAGATATACTTATATCTGATGCATTTTCTGAAAAAAAAATATATATTATATTCAAAGTGTAGTAGCTAATTATCAGTTAGGACTAGGCATGGGAATTTTTTTCGATATATCGATAGGTATCGATAGTTATCGATATATCGAATAACAATAGGTAGAGCTAAAAAAATCGATATATCGATATATCGATAACTATCGATATATCGATACTTATCGATAAGTATCGATATATCGATACCTATCGCTATGTCGATAACTATCGATATGTCGATAACTATCGATATATCGATATGTCGATAACTATTGATATATCGATATGTCGATATCTATCGATATATCGATATGTCGATATGTATCGATATATCGATATGTCGATAACTATTGATATATCGATATGTCGATAACTATCGATATATCGATATGTCGATAACTATCGATATGTCGATAACTATCGATATGTCGATAACTATCGATATGTCGATAACTATCGATATGTCGATAACTATCGATATATCGATATGTCGATAACTATTGATATATCGATATGTCGATAACTATTGGTACGATAAAATTATGTTATTGTTGAGATTTCAACGAGCGCTACTATTTTTATTAATAAAATCCATTTTCGGGTTTACTCTCGTGTAAATTTACTATTTTTAATCGCTCGACGTTTCGGAAACTTAACTTTGCTCCCTTTCTCAAGAGAAGCGCTACGTCACATCATCATCCATGCCAAATAAACGCAGTAATATAATCTTTAGAAAATAGATCTTTTCGTCTTACTGACGATTGCTCAAAAAAAGAAGCACTTCAAAAACTTGAACAAAATGTTGCATCAAAATGGCTACTCTTTAGGTAAAATAAAGAAGACAATCAAAGGGTGTAATCATGGTCTATGTATCGGTATCTGACTGATGGTTACAGAGGACCAGTCACAAAAAAACAGAGAAAGCTAAGAACACTTCAAATTTAGATATACAGTTTCAATTGATTGACATTTACGAAATCTAACAAAAAACTCTTGATAAAGGTAGCAAAGAAACGTCGAGTAACTATTAATCACTTTTAGTCCTTTACACGAGAATAAACCGGAAAATGGATTTTATTAAATAAAACTCGATAAGATAACTATCGATACGTCGAATATTTCTCTCAAATGACACGTGCAATTACCGCTTAATTACAGCGGTAATTGCATTGTATAAAGCTAAGTACCCAATACTTATATCGATAGGTGAAAACAGTTATCGCCCATCCCTAGCGATAACTATCGACATATCGATATATCGATAACTATCGATATGTCGATAACTATCGATATGTCGTTAACTATCGACATATCGATAACTATCGATATATCGATAACTATCGACATATCGATAGGTATCGATATATCGATAACTATCGATATTTCGATAATTATCGACATATCGATAAGTAAAATATATCGATAGGTAAGTACCCGATACTTATCGATAGGTGAAAACAGTTATCGCCCATCCCTAGTTAGGACCCTACGACTAAGCAAAGGCCTGATGAGCCTAGTGAAAAACAAAGGCGTTGAAACAACCGTTTTTCTAACGTAGTGTAGTCATAGAATTTGTTCCTTTCAATGAGATATAGGAGCATCTGCGATTTGAAGAAGGCGCCCATAAGAAACTATCCCAAAAGTTGTTAAAATCCAATCTATTATTTATGGCATATTCACACATAGCACATTAAAAAAATTTAGAAACTTTCATGTTTTAAAAGGTGCTGCTTAAGATACGTTTTACTTTTTGATTTAAACCCACAAGTGTCACATTTAAAATCCTTACAAACTTTATGTTTTAACAGATGTTGTGTGAGGTAACGTTTAACATTTGTCTCATAATCACAATCGGCACATTTGAAATCCTTAGAAACATTATGTATTAAAAGATGTCGTTTGAAGCTGCCTTTAACATTTGTCCCATAATCACAAGTAACACATTTAAATTCTTTAAAAACTTTATGTTTTAAAAGATGTTGTCTTAAAGTGCGTTTATTATTTGTCCCATAATCACATGTAGCACACTTAAAATCATTAGAAACTTTATGTCTTAAAAGATGTCGTTTGAAGTACTGATTAATATTTGTCCCATAATCACAAGTAGCACATTTAAATTCTTTATAAACTTTATGTTTCAAAAGATGCTGTTTTAAGATGCGTTTATCATTTGTCTCATAATCACAATCAGCACATTTAAAAGCCTTAGAAACTTTATGTATTAAAAAATGCTGTTTGAAGAGGTCTTCACGATTAGTCTTATAACCACAATCAGCACATGTAAATTCCCTTGAAACTTTGTGTTGTAAAAGATGTCGTCTAAAGTTGACTTTATTATTTGTTCCAAAATCACAAGTAGAACATTTAAAAATCTTAGAAACTTTATGATTTAAAAGATGTCGGGTGAAATAGCGTTTAACATTTGTCTTAAAATCACAATTAGCACATTTGAAATCCTTAGAAACTGTATGTATTAAAAGATGTTGTTTGAAGAGAGATTTATTATTTGTCCCATAATCACAAGTAGCACATTTAAAATCCTTCGAAACTTTATGTTTTAAAAGATGTCCTTTGAAGAGGTGTTTATTATTTGTCCCATAATCACAAGTAGTACATTTATAATCCTTAGAAACCTTATGTTTTAAAAGATGTTGGCTGAAGTAACGTTTAACATTTGTCTTAAAATCACAATTAACACATTTGAATTCCTTAGAAATTTTATGTATTAAAAGATGTTGGTTGAAGTACCGTTTAATATTTGTCCCATAATTGCAATTAGAACATTTAAAATCATTCGAAACTTTATGCTTTAAAAGATGTCCTTTGAAAAGGTATTTATAATTTGTCCCATAATCACAAGTAGCACATTTGTAATCCTTAGAAACTTTATGTTTTAAAAGATGTTGTCTTAAAGTGCGTTTATCATGTGTCCCATAATCACAAGTAGCACATTTAAAATCATTAGAAACTTTATGTCTTGAGAGATGTTGTTTGAAGTAACGTTTAATATTTGTTCCATAATCACAATTAGCACATTTAAAATCTTTCGAAACTTTATGTTTTAGAAGATGTTGTCTTAAACAGCGTTTATCATTTGTCCCATAATCACAAGTAGCACATTTAAAATCTTTAGACTTCGTTGTACGCAGTGTTAAAAGGTCATGTTGAAAGTCGGAGTGTTGCTGTACCTCCTTCACAGTTAACGCTTCTTCATTAACAAGAGATTTAGAACATGGTGTACTAATAGTAGTTTCGTCCTTTATTATCACCAAACATTCATTGCTTACTGAAATATGTCCCTGAAGAAAGGAATGAAGATCTTTTTCTTGTTTTGGTTCGATTTTAACGAGTAGTGTATCACTATTTCCATCCATACCTAACAACAATAATAATGTTATAAATACTTAAATGTGGTAGTTAAAAATCTATGGTACAAACTATTGCCTAACCTCAATATCCCCTTTCAATATGCAATCCTGTTTTTCAGTTCTATGTTTATTAAATCATGTTATCTCTCCTCTAACAAACACTCACAAAATACTTAACTACTTTATTAAAAACATGTATAAAAGACTATACGATTAAAACAAACCATGGAAACTGCATGCCTAACTTCATAAACATTTAGAAAACAATGTTGTCACTTTTACACAAAAAACATACAAAAGCGCTGTTGACAACAAAAAACTCTTTCAAGCACAGCATGCATATACCATAAAGAGTTGTATCTCTTAAAGGCCGTTTAGCTTGAGACGATGCAATTTTTATTGCAATTTTTGCAGCAACTTTATATATATGTCGTAAGCTGTGTATATGTCCTCTCTCGCGGATTTATACAGGGTGGTTCAGACTATTCATCCATCCTTTTTAGAACTCAGGAGCTTAAACTTTTTTAACAAATAGCCCGGACCTTTCTAATATTGTTATTGTCTATGGAATTAATCTAAAATTGCATCCCAATAATCCATACCTTTGGAAGGGTAGGGAGAACTTTGTAATTTCGAATGTGTACTGACTTTAACCCAACCCTGGTTGGTATAGTAAACCATACAGCTTTTGAGACAAAGTGGCAACGTTGAAATACATAATCGGATCGTCTGGTAGGGAGTGCGTGAAGCTCTGGTGCAGTTCATTCGGAGCAGCTCATTTTGCTCACATTTGAATTGACATTTACAGTACGTAAATAACCACCAAAGTGCTTGAAGCCCTAAGCAAATATGTGGTGCATGAGGGGACAAGGGAAATCCAAATTCGGGTGCGTCAGAGCTCGAAGCTTTCTTAAAAGGAACACAGGGCATCGTGCACGGTACAGCTTAGAGCTCCTCTTTCACTCAAATGGAAAGCAGTAAATTACTCGGAGCTCGATAGGACAGAAACACTCAAATAAAACGCTGTACTGTCTGCGAGTTCATTTATTACGAAACTTATACTAATGTGGAGTTTGTAAAACATGTTTGATCTATTATTCATGTTGTGACGTAACATTTAGCAATGATATTGATAAACAGTTGTTTGGGGAGCCCCAATTAAGCTCAATTTCCAGAAAATGACATTGGTGCACAGCTCATATCACATGTGAACAGGTGGTATTTATTAATAATACGCCCATAGGTATGGTGGTCTTCGGTTACGGATGCTACACCACTAAAGATGAATCTTCGAAGGCCCCGGATCTTTTTGTCCCTTAGCTCTACGCTTAGATTCAAGTGTAAGAGCCTTTCCTCTTACAGTAGGAAGGTATATTACATACAACTAGGCACAAACATTCGTGAATGTTACGAGTCACCCTAACTTAAATACACAAAGCATATGACATGTCGTTAAATTTGTTCCTCTCAATCAGGTAAGTTGTGATTTGAATATTAAACATATTCCAAAAGCTCAAAGTCCAATCTATATTTATCTCACATTCACAACTACCACATTTAAAAACACACCCTTTTATGTTTTAAAAGGTGCCGTTTAAGATAAGTTTTCCTTTTTGTCTCAAAATCACAATTAGCACACTTAAAATCCGTAGAAACTTTATGTTTTAAAAGATGACGGTTAAAGTTGCGTTTAACATTTGTCCTATAATCGCACTCAACACATTTGAAAACCTTAGAAACTTCGTGTATTAAAAGATGTCGTTTGAAGTAGCATTTATCATTGGTCCCATAATCACAAGTAGCACATTTAAAATCCTTAGAAACTTTGTGTTTCAAAAGATGTTGTTTGAAGTTGTGTTTAACATTTGTCTCATAATCACAATTGGCACATTTGAAATCCTTCGAAACTTGGTGTATTAAAAGGTGTTGTTTCAAATTGCGTCTATGATTGGTCTCGTAATTGCAATCAGCACATTTAAAGTCCTTAGAAACTATATGTACTAAAAGATGTCGTTTGAAGATGTGCTTATTATGTGTCTCATAATCACAAGTGGCGCATTTAAAATCCTTACAAAGTTTATGTTTTAACAGATGTTCTTTGAAGTTGCGTAAAACATTTGTACGATAATCACAGTCATCACATTTAAAAACCTCAGAAACATTGTGCATCAAAAGATGTTGTTTGAAATAGCATTTATGATTGGTTTCGTAATCGCAATGAACACATTTCAAATCTTTAGAAACTTTATGTTTTAAACGATGTTGTTTGAAATTACCTTTAACATTGGTACCATAATCACAATCATCACATTTAAACACTTGAGAAACTTTATGTATTAAAATATGGTTTTGGAACCTGCTTTTAACATTTGTTCCATAATCACAAGTAGCACATTTAAAATCCTTAGTAACTTTATGTTTTAAAAGATGTTGTCTTAAGTTGCGTTTATCATTTGTCCCATAATCACAAGTAGCACACTTAAAATCTTTAGAAATTTTATGTTTTAAAAGATGTTGTTTGAAATTGCGTTTATTATTTGTCCCATAATCACAAGTAGCACATTTCAAATCCTTAGAAACCCTATGTTTCAAAAGATGTTGAATGAAGTTGCGTTTAACATTTGTCTCATAATCACAAGTAGCACATTTCAAATCCTTAGAAACTTTATGTTTTAGAAGATGTTGTTTTAAGTTGCGTTTATCATTTGTCCCATAATCACAAGTAGAACATTTAAAATCCTTAGAAACTCTATGTCTTAGAAGATGTTGTTTTAAGTTGTGTTTATCATTTGTCTTATAATCACAAGTAGCACATTTAAAATCCTTAGAAACCTTATGTTTTAAAAGATGTCGTTTGAAGTGGCGTTTAACATTTGTTCCATAATCACAAGTAGCACATTTAAAATCTTTAGAAATTTTATGTATTAAAAGATGTCGTTTGAAGTAGCGTTTAACATTTGTCCCATAATTACAATGAACACACTTAAAATCTGTAGCAACTTTATGTGTTAGAAGATGTCGTTTGAAGCTACTTTTATGATTTGTCCCATAATCACAAACAGCACATTTAAAATCCTTGGAAACTTTGTGCATTTGAAGATGTCGTTTAAAGTTGCCTTTATAATTTGTCTCATAAACACAATCAGCACATCTAAAATCCTTCAAAACTTTATGTTTTAAAAGATGTCCTTTGAAGTGGTGTTTATTATTTGTCTCATAATCACAAGAAGCACATTTAAAAGCTTTAAACTCATTTTTACACTGGTTTACAAGGTCGAATTTAAAGTCAGAGTGCTGCTGTAATTCTTCCACAGTTAATGCTGTACTAATAGTAACTTCCTTCTTTATTGTCACCAGAACCTCGTTACTTACTGAAATGTGTCCCTGAATAAAGGAATGGATTTCTTCTTCTTGTTTTGGTTCGATTTTAATAAGTGGTGTGTCATTATCTCCATCCATACCTAACAACATTGTTATAAATAAATTATATAAATCAATGTTAGCATTAAACAAAAAGGAAGGAGATCCCAAGGCAACTAGACATTACTTACTTTCTGAGTAACAGAACTTGTTGAATAAACAGTAACACCCTCGTCACCAATAAAGTAATTATTTGATTTTTTTCTGTGACGGGTCACGGGAAAAACATTTGACATAATCGTCCCTTTACACGTAAGGCCCGGTCCACATGAGCTTCTAAGTAATCGGAGCCCAAAGACTGTTTTCTATCGAGATAGTCAGAAACACGTTGGGGGTAATGCACATGGAACACTAATATGTACCTATCGGATGCCAAGGCCCATTAGTCCCAACGTATTTTTGACTAGCTTAATTAATTGCTTTGTAGCTCATGTGCACCCAGCCTAAAGTTGCGTTTATCTATGCGTTTTGATCACCTGGGTTTTGTTCTAAACCGTTCGGTTACGTATTAGTGCATCAGAAAAGCGCTTACTCCGAAACCGAACGCACCCTGGTGGTTCAATGATGAAGATGTACAAAGGCTAGAATTTTAAGTTCGTGATCGCGTCTATTGGGCCCCGTTTGCACTCTGATTTGTAATTTAAAAAAACGATACGGTGTCAACACTTTTTCTGGTGCGCCAATAAAACGAACGCATCTAATATAAAACGCATTTCGCTCCAAAGTTATCACCACTATATTTTACTAGGTTGGTGACACAAAAACAACTAGATTTACCCTCAAAATTGCCCGGTTCATACCAAAAGATAATAACCCCAGTACTATAAAAATTGCATGCAAGTCTCTTGCAGAAATTGATCAGTTGGCTTTGAGCGTGCCTTTCGCAATTTCTCTTAGAACTTGAGATGCCTCAACCTTAGCAGCTTCCTATGATTGTCAATACGAAGCACCCTATACATCATGTTGGCTACAAATGCTGCCAACCGAAAATTGGTGAGACCTAGTACGCGTATGCTATAAAGCTGAATTTATAGTTCCGTAACCGCAACACCGTACCGTAACGTTTGGATTTAAACCCTACTTGTTGCGCGTGAACATTTATAGTTCGCGTTAACGTTGCGTTAGAACGGTTACGGTACGTAGGAAATGCCCAAATCTCATTTCTTACGGTAAATCGTGCTAACGCGTTTGTCGTCGGCAGTACTCGGATAATTCAAACAGTTGAGTTTATCCTGGCGTTCGTTTCGTTTATTTACAATAATTATTGACACTTTGTTGGTTATTATTATTTTGCATGCACGTTACTCTTACTGACAGATGACATACAATGACAGATCTCGTTTCGCACTAATGCGCAAGCTCATCTCTTACCACTACGGTAACTATAAATCGTATAATATTCGTTAACGTAAGATTTTACGGTTCTGTTCTTACGTTCTTACGGCTACGGAACTATAAATCCGGCTTAACAACGTGAACGTTTGTTTTGAACCAACATCTCACCGTTGAGAGGACGAAAATATACATTAGTCAGTGGCGTAGGGTTTATTTATCTTTATGGGCAACAAAGTTTATGTTTTGTTTACATGTGCAAAGGTAATAACATCACTAAATATTTATGATCAAAAGCTGTATGTGTTTGAAAGGTCCCTATTGATCTATGATAAGGTATGGTGATACTTCAAAGTGGGAACTTAGAAGGAAATCTAAACACATTAAAATGCGAAAATTCCCATATGCACGTCTATGACAACAAAACAAATACCGCTGAGAGGTTATGTTGGTAAATTCAATAATTCCACAAATAATACAGCTTTTCCCCATTTCAAAGGGCTCCCATAAATTAATACACCATAAATCGAATAAGTTCTGCACTATAAAAACGCCTAAAAATTAAGGAATCACGTTTTAACGAAATAAACAAAATACCTCTCAACGGAAAACAAAGTTACAGCGTTGCCGATGTGGTGCACTAATCACCATAACTTTTCTCGTTCGGCCGTTTAATTGTAAGTTAAAATTGTTTGGGGTACTGAAATCTTATAAGCATCTAAAAATCCATTTAGATTACTCCAGATGTTATTATTATTCCCTTAAAAACTATCTGAAATGTAACAACTTAGCCTCCTGCAATGTTAGTAAACAAACGAGATGATGGCACGCATAGATAAGCATCAAGGCATCTATCTTTATTTCTTACTCTGAGGGTGGGACGATAACCATAACCTTAACCTAACCAACGCTTCGCCTTCGCATTTCGGTGAAGTGCCCTCGGCGGTATGTAATCTACTAATTTTTTTTTATTATAACCAAAAAAATTACTACTGGTGACGTAGTGTAACCCTTATTCAACAAATTCTGTTACTCATTTGTCTATTTATTTATTTATTATCCCTCTCTTGCTTTAGGCCCTCAACATAAAGTAAGTAATGTGTTGTCCTGGGATGTCCTTCTGTATTGTTTAATGAGTAGATTTTTGATAAACCAAAACAGATTTTTAACACATTTATCTATAACATTATTGTTGTTAGGTATGGATGGAGATAATGACACACTGCTCGTTAAAATCGAACCAAAACAAGAAGAAGAAATTCATTCCTTTCTTCAGAGTCACATTTCAGTAAGTAACGAAGTTTTGGTGACCGTAAAGGATGAAATTACTATTAGTACAGAGTGTTCTAAATCTTTTGATAATGAAGAAGTACAGCAACAATCTGACTTTCAATGTTACCTTTTAACGCAGTGTAAAACAGAGACACAATGTGCTGATTTTGACTATCGAATAAATGATAATGGTAACTTGAAACATGAAATATCTAAGGATTTTAAATGTGCCACTTGTGACTATGAGACAAATAATAAACACAATTTCAAACGACATATTTTAATACATAAAGTTTCTAAGGAGTTTAAATGTGGTACTTGTGATTATGGGACAAACGATAAGTGCATCTTCAGAAGACATCTCTTAATACATAAAGTTTCTAAAGATTTTAAATGTGCTAATTGTGATTATGGGACAAACGACAGAGGCAACTTCAAACGACATCTTTTAATACATACAGTGTCTGAAGATTTTAAATGTACTACTTGTGATTATGTTACAAATATTAAACGTAACTTCAAACGGCATCTCCTAAAACATAAAATTTCCAAAGAGTTTAAATGTGATAATTGTGTTTATGAGACAAATTATAAAAGCAGCTTCAAACGACATCATCTAACACATAAAGTTTCTAAAGATTTTAAATGTGCCATTTGTGATTATGGGACAAATAATGTAGGCAATTTAAAACAACATCTTTTAAAACATAAAGTTTCAAAGGAATTTGAATGTGTTACTTGTTATTATCGAACAAATGATAAACGCCTGTTCAAACAACATCTTTTAAAACATAAACTTTCTAAAGATTTTAAATGTGCTGATTGTAATTATGGGACAAATGTTAAAAGCGCGTTAAAAAACCATGTTTTAATACATAAAGTTTCTCAAGTTTTTAAATGTGCTGATTGTGATTACGGAACCAATTTTAAAAGCAGTTTCAAACAACATCTTTTAAAACATAAAGCTTGTAAGGATTTTAAATGCCCTCATTGTGATTATGGGACCAATCATAAACAATATTTCAAACAACATCTTTTAATACACAAAGTTTCTAAGGATTTTAAATGCGCGCATTGTGATTATGAGACAAATCATAAATACCCCTTCAAACGACATCTTTTAAAACATAAAGTTTCTATGGATATCAAATGTGCTACTTGAGATTTTGGGACAAAGAGTAAAATCTGTCTTAAACGGCACCTTTTAAAACATAAATGTGTGTAAATTTTGCAAATGTACTAATTGTTGTTATGAGAAAAATATACATCCTGTACCCTCCATCCTTTCTCAGATTTTTGGTACCTGCCCCAGTGTTCCCAAAATTTATTTTTAACCTTGAGTGCAACCAACATTGTGTATATGCATTTACTATCTTTGTTAAACACTGCTCAAACTTAATAATTTTACAAATTATTTTGTATTTTGGACTGCAAGGTTTTTCTCCTTCGTACTCTTTTTACCCTTTGCAGCTATTTTTGCAAGAGTACGACAGATTTTGCCTTTGCTTCATTTTCTTACATTAATGTACATCAACTAAACTTCCGTGATTTCACAATCTGTGCCACCCTGTATAAACGCATTTTGTCTGCAACTTTGACAGTTACTGAATACAAGACCATTCAATTTTAAAATTATACTCTAGCCAAATTAAAACCCCCATGCTCCTTAATAAGTAGACGTCCTTTAAGAGAGCTTTTGAGTTTAGCTGTAAAATTACAATGTGCACATTTTAAATCATGTGATGTCTCGTTTTATCACTGGATTTAAAATGGGTTGCATAATCTTTAAGAGTTTTGTGTATTAATAGATGATTCTGTAAATTGTACTTTCTATGGGAAGCGAAATCGCAGAGTGAACAATTAAAAACCTTGGAAGTGGCCCCAACAGTAAGAGGTGTTTTTATCGTATTGTGACTGGCAATAAGAAGTGGATACATCTCTGTTTGCTTGGAAGTCGTTCCATTTGCGGTACCAATCAGAAATGTTATGACACTTATAACTGCTGTGCATCAATTTTATTTATTAGTGTTCTAGACACAGTTATATGTAATGCATTTTCTGAAATAGTTATAATGAAACAATTGTTAATGTACCTATGGAGTAAAATAAACATTCAAACTGTAGTCGGAACCCTCTCAATGTACAGACCCTAAACCACAGCCTGATGAAGCAGCACTGCAAACAACTCCACCGTTTTTCTTAGGTAGTGTAGTCGTTAAATTTGTACCTTTCAATGAGATAAGTTCAGGAGCAACCTACCAAACACTGTTGCTCAGTCTAATCTCTTCTTTAACTCATAATCACAATTAACATATTTAAAAACTTTAGACTCTTTTATGTTTTAAGAGATGTTTTTTAAGATCGTATTTATAGTTAGTCTCATATTCACAATAAACACATTTAAAATCCTTAAAATCTTTATGTCTTAAAAGATGTTGTTTGAAGTACCGTTTAACATTTGTTCCATAATCACAGTGAACACATTTAAAATCCTTAGAAACTTTATGTTTTAAAAGGTGATTTTTGAGTTCAGATGCATAATATGTCTCATAATCACAATCAGTACATTTAAAATCCTTAGAAACTGTATGTTGTAAAAGATGTCGTTTGAAGAGCTGTTTATAATTTGTCTCATAATCACAATCGGCACATTTGAAATCTTTAGAAACTTTATGTTTTAAAAGATGTATTTTAAAGTTGCCTTTAACATTTGTCTCATAAGCACAATCAGCACATTTCAAATCCTTAGAACCTTGATGTTTTAAAACGTGTTGTTTGAAGCTTCCTTTAAAATTTGTCTCATAATCACATTCAGGACATTTGAAATCCTTGGAAACCTTATGTTTTAAAAGATGTTTTTTAAAGTTGCCTTTAACATTTGTCTCATAATCACAATCGGCGCATTTCAAATCCTTAGAAATTTTATGTTTTAAAAGATGTTGTTTGAAGTTGCCTTTAAAATTTGTCTGATAGTCACAGACATCACATTTAAAATCCTTAAAAACTTTATGTTTTAAAAGATGTTGTTGGAAGTGGCGTTTATGATTTGTCCCATAATCACAGGTATCACATTTAAAATCCTTAGAAACTTTATGTGTTAAAAGATGTCGTTTGAAAAGATGTTTATGATTAGTTCCATAATCACAAGTAGCACATTTTAAATCCTTAAAAACTTTATGTATTAAAAGATGTTGTTTGAAGCTGCTTTTAACATTTGTCTCATAATCGCAATCGGTGCAACTAAAATCCTTAGAAACTTTGTGTTTTAAAAGATGCTGCTTAAGATGTGATTTATAATATGTCTCATAATCACAATTAGCACATTTAAAATCTTTAGAAACCTTATGTGTTAAAAGATGTCGTTTGAAGAGTTGTTTATTATTTGTCCCATAATCACAAGCAGCACACTTGAAATCCTTAGAAACCTTATGTTTTAAAAGATGTTGTTTAAAACTGCCTCTAACATTTGTCTCATAATCACACTCAGCACATTTCAAATCTTTAGAAATTTGTAAAAAATTACTTTTAAAATTGTCTTTAACATAATCACAATCGCCACATTTCAAATCTTTATGTTTTAAAAAATGTTGTTTTAAATTGCCTTTAAAATGTGTCTCATAATTGCATTCAGCACATTTAAAATCCTTAGAAACTTTATGTTTTAAAAGATGTCGTTTGAAGTTGCGTTTAACATTTGTCCCATAGTCACAATCAGTACATTTAAAATCCTTAGAAACCTCATGTATTAAAAGATGTTGTTTGAAGCTGCCTTTAACATTTGTCCCATAATCACATTCGCCACATTTAAAATCCTTTGAAATTTTATGCTTTAAAAGATGCTGTGTCAAGTTGCGCTTATCATTTGTCCGATAATCACAATCAGCACATTTAAAATCCTTAGACACTTTATGTCTTAAAAGATGTCGTTTGAAGTGGTGTTTATTATTTGTGCCATAATCACAAGTTATACATTTAAATTCCTTTAAAATTTTATGTTTTAAAAGATGTTGTTTTAAGTTGCCTTTATCATTTGTCTGATAATCACAATCAGCACATTTAAAAACTTTATGTGTTAAAAGATGTTGTTTAAAGTTGCTTTTGTAATTTGACGCATAACCACAATCAACACATTTAAAGTCTGACTCTGTTTTACATTGTGTTAACAGTTCACATTGAAGGTCATTGTGTTGCTGTATTTCTTCATTATAAAGATATTTCGAACACTGTGGACTAATGGTAATATCGTCCTTTACTGTCACCAAAACTTCATTGCTTACTGAAATGTGGCCCTGAAGAAAGGAATCGATTTCTTCTTCTTGCTTCGGTTCGATTTTAATGAGGGAAGCCACATTTCCGTCCATGTTATAAATAAAAGTATTAAAAATCTGTTTAGGTTTATCAAAACAATATTTTGTTATTAAACATTACAGAGAGTGATTCCCGGACATTACTTACTCTCTGCGTAACAGACTTTGTTGAATGAGAGCTACACTCTTTATCTCCCAACTCAGACACTTTCACAATTTACATTCGTTAGAAACACGAAACAAACCATGGAAATCACTATTTACATGTCATAATAGACGCCATCTTATATACATCAGTCATCCAGTAGATGGCGTGGCGCTGTGATTGAAGATAAAGTCAACTAGATAATAGAAAGTACCGCAATCATCCGCCATTTTTGGGCAAATTTGCTGCCAACTTAAAAAAATTGACAAATAAAATCTGAATAGCTGTCATTTTTTATAACCTAACTTCATAGTACTGTCATGTTTTATAAAAATATATACAATATCTCCAAACAGGTGGAACAATCCCTAACATTAAAGAAACTAAATCTGGAAACTTCGGATATGGGCAAAAATCATGCGTTCTCTCTCTGCCGGAGCCCAAATGCGGGCTCGTGATCGGATCGCCTAGGACAGAGACCCTACATTTTACTCACCGTTAAGTTGTAACCGTTACACTCGGAATGGGGGCTGCTATCGGGGAGGAAAAGAAACAGTCAAATGCGGCCTAAAGTATTTATTGTTACCCAAACAGATTCCCTAATAATTTGGAAATGCAGAAGTCCCTAACGAGTAGGCCTGTGCGAGGGAAGACCTCTGCCAGAGAAACCCTCGACTCGTGTTCGTAGAAGCTAAAGGGGTTGACGTTAATAAACAAGCTAACACGGGGTTTCCTGAAATATAATACAATACTCTTAACAGTACTTGGTAAATAGTAGTCATTACGGCGATATAAAATAGTCATTATTGGAACAACGGATTGGAACAATACCAGGGGAATAAACTCTTCTAGCTGGCTTAGTCGGTACAACATGAAATAGCAATGACATCCAAACTCGTGTTCCCAAGCGTCAATTATCTCACGATTATACCCAAACTCGGTCACACACACCTTTCAGAAACGGAAGACTGTTAATTATAGTTCCACCCCTGGAACAGGTAACAAGACTGCTCTGGGTTTGCGAGTACAACTTGCCTAAAGCTGAAGGTTCGAAACTAGAGTCGCTTGCCTTGTGGGTTTCTTGCAATTTTATAATTTGATTCGCCGATGGACTCTAGTTTCTCACGGTCGAAAGATTAGTGTCCTCTCATAAATGGTCATTGCACACGTAGAAAATCATCGCTTCTACTCTACAACTAAGCTACTCAACAACTGTGAACACGAATCTGAATAGTCATATAGGCGCCTTCCAAGTTAACATAATAAACACAAATCCGAAACTTCCCCAGCTAGAGGGTCGCTTTCCCCATAACATTTTGGCAAGATATTTAACACCAGGCATCCCCTTACAAACAAAGTACAAAATTGGCAGTTATGTGAATATTCGGATTGAAGTACAAATTGCAAAATGATATAAATATGAGGGAACACAATTTACATTACATGCAATTAATGAATTAACAAAAACCAATTACATCACCTGATATGAACTCTCGAATTGTAAACTACGGGAACGAAACTCTCTCGAAGGTAGTCAGCAAGCAAGTCCTTCTTCCCATTCCAAAAAGGCGCCGAACTTCCTTTCAACAAATAAAAACCCTCTTCACCCCTGAGTCGGAAACTAACCCACCCCGGAATGGAAATTTCCATCCTATCTAACAGTAAATCCGGCTGTTGTTATTTAGTATCCCTCTTTTCTAAAACCAGGTACCTAACCCCAATTGATTACAAAAACATTCAAATTCTAAAAATAAAATTCTAGGTATTTTGGTAGTGGCTCCGCTACCGGGAAGGACGGCAGTGTCTGGCTTCTTTGGTTGCGTTCGGAGATTTTGTTTTTGATGTTAAGTATCTAGCCTTTATCATAAAGGTATGCCCATCTCAGAGCGCCCCTTTGGAAAAGGATCGGAGGTGTTCTAGCAGACGATCGTTTTGCAACATCCTGTCCCAACAATGACTACGCCCTGTAACTCTTGTAACCTCAAAAAAAAAAACACAACGCATTAGAACTGTTATAATATAACCATCACCTTAACCTAGAATGGGACCACCATTACGTGCAACTGGTTGGGTGCCCAAAGTACAAAACATGCATAACTTATTTACAGTGATATAATTTCAGATTAGAAATATTATAATTCCCTTTCCTAACGTTTGATACGGGATCGCAAAGGGTGTAAACATTGGGATAGGGACATGCTGTTACACGGTAAGGTCCGGAATAAAGGGGACAAAACTTGTAGATGATCCTGTTTGCAGCATCCGAAATAGGGTTCTCACGTAGAAGAACTAAATCATCCTTTACCAATGTATCGTGGGCATTCGACCTACTCATTCTCTGCTGTGCGCTCCCTCTTGCATTCTCTCTCACTTCGTGTTGGATTTGACGGACTGATTTAGGCGTAGTGGGTGGTAAATACCGCTGGATTAGATCATCAAGGAAAGTGGATGGGCGAGTCCCGTAGAGGATTTCCATTGGAGAATAGCGGGTTGTCAAATGGGGTGTGTGATTGAACAAGGACTCAATCTGCGGCAGGAAATTGACCCAACTGGAATGGGAATGTTGGCAGTAGGTCCGGAATAATCGACTCAACTCCTTCATCACCCGCTCAGTAGGATTGGATGATGGATGGCGGATGGAAGAATAGGTGGGTTTAATGCCGTTTTGTCGCAATGAGTCTTGCCAGACCCTGGAAGAAAACTGGGAGCCATGATCGGAAAGAATGGTACGCACGGGGATAACTTCGGCAAAATCGTGAAGAACCTTACGAGCAGAAATTTTTGCTTGTGCACGTCGAAGTGGGTACAACCGGACATACTTCGAAAAGGAGTCAATCACCACCAGTATGTAAGAGACCCTACCTCGCCCCTGGGGTAAAGGTCCGTAGTAGTCAACTGTCACTAGATCCCCGGGTGCATCAACCTGGATCGCCTGCGGGGCTCCTAGCAAGCCACGGGAAGGGAACTTAGACTTCTGACATACGTCACAGGATCTAATCACACGGTGTATACACTTTCTCATCTGTCGGAAGTACACACAACGCTTCAAAAGCATAAACAACTTAGAAACGCCAAAATGCCCGAACAACTCGTGATAACTGCTGACTAGCGGATTTATCATACTCTGGGGAATTACGAGCCTATGCACACCATCGGTAGCTTCCACATACAACAAAACACCCTGCATCATAGTGAACTGTGGGAACAACCGATCCTGTATCCCGTTCAGCACTACTGGTCTACCTAACAAACGAGATATGATTGCTGTGTAAAAGGGATCACAGTGTTGGAGCCTTGCTAAATCGTTGAAATGGTCTTCTAAAACCCTATTGTCCCGACTTTCAAACAAACCTACTAAATAGTCCCTAGCACTAGCCACAATTGGAGCTGCTCCTTGGCTTGCAAGTGCCTCTAAACTTGGTGGATATCGTGACAAGGTATCAGCTACAATGTTATCCTTTCCCTTAACGTGCTCAATAACAAAATCAAACTCGTTCAAAAACAGAGTCCATCGGGTCAACCGCTCATTCAGAAGACGACATTGTTGTAAAAACTTCAGAGCAAAATGATCAGTACGGATAATAACCTTGTGTCCCAAAAGAATAGTCCGAAACTTCTTTAAACCGAAAATAACAGCTAGCAATTCCTTCTCCGTCACCGTATACAACAACTCGGGCCCATGTAAAACTCGACTAGCAAACCCTAACACTAAGTGTTCGCCCCTATCTTCCTGATACAATTCAACCCCAAGAGCTACACCTGAACTGTCGGTCTGCAGATAAAATTCCCTAGTGAAATCGGGAAACCTAAGCATCACAGTGGCTAGGAACAACAGCTTAACCCTTTCAAAAGCAGCTTGCTCTACCTCACCCCAACTCCAACGGCAATGTTTCTGAAGCAAACGCGTCAGCGGAACTACGGAATCACTATAATCCATACTAAATCGCCTATAGTAGTTGCAGAGTCCTAAGAATCCCCTGAGCTGTTTCACGGTCTTGGGTTGTGGAAAGTCTCGAATGGCTGCCGTTTTCTCTGGATCGGTAGAAATGCCATCGGTACTCAAAATATGTCCTAAGAATTTCACTTGACTCTGGAAGAAACGAGTTTTCTCTAAATTCAACGTGAGGTGAGCATCCGACAACTTCTGAAATAGCCGCTCTAAATGGGATAAATGCTCTTCGAAAGAATTGGAGACCACAAGCAAGTCGTCCACATACCGAAAGGTAAACTGTTGGACTTCCGGACCTAATATGACATCCATAGCACGGGTGAAAGAAGCAACAGCCGTTTTTAGACCGAAAGGTAAAACTTGGTATGTATAGGACTTTCCCTCATACAGAAAGGCTGTGTACTTGGTACTATCTGGATTCAAGGGAATCTGCCAATATGACGCTCGAAGATCGATGGTGGTCAAAAACCGGGTAGATGCTAACGAGCTGAAAATCTCCTCAGGGGCAATGGGTGACTCATGGTCGGCAACCATCCTAGAATTCAACATACGCGCATCCAAACATACCCTCACTGAAGCATCTTTCTTCCTCACAGCAGTCATCGGGCTAGCGAACGGGGAGGCCTCCCTCTTGATGACACCTAACTCTAACATCTCACTAAGAACGCTTTCCACTTCTGGTCTAAGGCTAACAGGGATCGGGTATGGTCGTCTTACAAAGGGTTGTGGGGTATGCATCTGGATGGTGTGTTGATACGAAGAAGTGCGGCCAGGATATTTATTAAACAACCGCCGAAATCGAAGCAGCAAGTTAAGGAATCGGGTCGACGACTCACCAGTCAAATAAGCTAGTTCCCTGACCTTTTCCCTCAACATTTCGTCCGTAGCAACTCCTTGTGCTAACAACTCGGCATGCCGATCTTGTGTAAGGCTAACAGGTACTCCGTGGATGGAAGTGAGGGGTCCTAACATGAGGGCCTGCTGGTCTCCTATGAGGGGTAACTTATTGTCCACATTGCAAAATGGCACGGATACATTCACTCCATCATGGCGCAACACTAATAAACTTCGGGAAATACGGATCTCAGCCTCAACTCTAGCTAACCAGTCTATACCTAAAATAACCGGACGTATCAAATTTTTAACCCGCAAGAAAGTGTGGCGGAACACCGGGGTTTGTCCGACAATGCTGAACTCCATCCAAGCCTGGAACTGTACCCGACAGCTGCGTTGACCCATAGCACCCCTAAGATGAGTGGAAGCGACGGGGAGGATAGGAAAGGTACCTAACCCCACCAACTGGTCAAAGGATTCCTCATTCATGCAAGTCACTTCGCAGCCGGAATCAAGCAAAGCTAGCATTCGTACTCCATAACAAGACAAAAAAACGTGTGGTAGACTTGAGCCTGAACCTGACACAGGCAACCGTGGATCACATGCATTCGACCCCGGCAGACAAGCCTCCACGCTGCCTACGGGATCCTTCCAATCAGTCTGTCTCTGACCTAACAAATGACTACCCAGGTATAGCATTCGCACATACATACGCGCCCCTGGACCATACAAGCGTTCACACTGATCCAAATTCATTCCTCCACAGGCAACAGTCGACAGTACCGAAGGAGAAACCGCAGATTCGCACTCCAGGCTCGCTGGGACAAATTTCAGGGGTGTAAATGGGAAGGACTTAAAAAGTGGTTTAGAGGATCGGTGCCTTCTTAGCGTTCCCCATGGAAGTTTTCCGTCGACGGTCTACGAGGATTCATAAGGGATTGAGGTCTTCGCGTAGAGGAACCTAAATATGGGGGAACAGCCTCCTCTCTCTCTCTCTGCCATGACGTGGACTGTTCCAAACGAGGCCTCCGGGTGGCGCTACCTGAAGTAGACTCTGGCACCAGGTGTTTCCGTTTCCTACCTATAGCCTCCTGCTTAGTGATGAATCTCACCGTTGTCTTCATATCGGTATGCGTCGTCAGGGACCACAGCGCCTGTATGGAATCAGGGAGTTGGTCCATAATATCCTCTACCAACTTGGCCTCGGGAACCAACGGCGACACGGTACGTAGCAAGGACATCTGCTTCAAGAAGTACTCCGACATACTGGATCCACCTGCACCAGCAACAAACCGCTTCGTCAACACCCTCATCCGCTCAGCGCGCTGCTCCTTCTCCGACCAAAACCGTTCTAAAAACTCACGACGGAAAGCCTCAAAACTCACCCACTCCTTTTCATTCGCATCCACCCACTGTGCCACTCTATACCCCAAACACCCTCTCATTACATCCAGCTTGTCCTCGGGAGCAAACCGAGTCATGCGGAAATACTTCTCGAACTGCTCAAGAAATAACACGGGATTGGTCTTACCGGGAATGAAAAGGGGCTTCTCCGCAATTGGGCCCGCAGATCGCCTCGCCAGACTCCTCGCTACTTCCTTCCACTCCGAGTCAACAACATTGGTTTTAGGGAGAGGGTTAGCGTTAGGCTCGGGGTTAGGCAGGATGTTAGGCATGGGGTAGGTCGGATTACTTGGAACGAACTCACCGCTTGACGTAGACGCGATAGCTTCCGTAGACAGGTTCCTTGGTCGAGGGTTCTCCTTGGCGTCCAGCAGCCGTTGGTTCACGCTCTCCTGTGCCTTCATGAAGGCCTCCATCCGGGCAGACTGTTGGCGCACCATCTCCTTCAACTGCAGGAACTCAACCTCGAGGGAACTCATCTCGTACACCTGACCTTCCTCGGACGCAACTGACTGTGCTGATGATTCCATCTTATGGTACCTGGAAGCACAAACACGATAGTATGTCTGTAGAAAGGAAACACAAAATTAATACGACGGTTAACAATAAAGTAAACAGACAACAACAAATAGTTGCTTACAACACAAACTTCAATAACTACCGAATCCTTGTGTCCAGAAACAACTTCTATGCAGCATAACCCATCCTATAATTAACAACACAAGTACCCACTTTTCCTTCCACAAACCTCCAGTTCCAAGCATCCTGGTCACGGCACCAAAAATCTGTAATGATCTTAAGGGGTCAACTAACTTCACTCCGAACACTAAATTCAAATACGGTGGGAAAATACTAAAAGGATATGGCTACCATGTCCAGCCTTTGTCATAAAGGTATGCCCATCTCAAGCTTACAAAATTCATCATTTGTACTGTGTAATACTGGCTCGTGTTTTAGATTTCAAAGCAGTGTTGTCACTTTTATAATTAAAAGGCTATTTAAATCAATGAATTTTGCTATGTCGCTTTGGTACGATTCCGAAGCAAGCGGCACACGGCCGACAGCAAATGCTATCGGGTTTCGGTCGCCATCATATAAATTCGGAAGCCGGCAGCAGGCATTACTAATTTGCGGTTGCGTGTTCGATAGACGGTTATCAACAATCAAACGCTGAAAGTTTGATTGCAAGATGATTTATTATTGTACTATTAGTTCAGCAGAGGACCTATAATGCCATTGTACTTATATAGACCGGAAGAAGGCTCTTATGTTTAGATCATATATTTATAAAAACATATAAATATACCATTCTCTAAAACAAAATGAAATTTTAAATAATCTTACTTACAAACTAGTATTGGTAGTGCCAAAGCCAAAAACAACAAAAATTTATCTCATAATCACAAAGTAGGGTAGGTTGGGGAGAACTGCTACACCACCCCAAGGTCACCACACGTTCAAGGTCGAGGTCATGGTTACTTCAAGATTACCACACATTCAAGGTCGAGGTGATTACCACTCTTCAAATACAGTTAAACGAGTCACCCATCACCAGGATACATAAAACACAAGTAATTTTTAACATATTTATTTAAGTAACCATGACCTCGACCTTGAAGGAACCATGACCTTGATCTTGAAGTAACCATGACCTCGACCTTGAACGTGTGGTGACCTCGACCGTGTGGTGACCTTGGGGTGGTGTAGCAGTTCTACCCAACCTACCCTACTATCACAATTAGCACATTTAAAAACTTTAGACTCTTTTATGTTTTAAAATGTGCCGTTTCAGGTAAGTTTTACTTTTTGTCCCAAAATCGCAAGTAGCACATTTAAAATTCTTACACGCTCTATGTTTTAACAGATGTTGTGTGAAGTAGCGTTTAACATTTGTCTTATAATCACAATCAGCACATTTAAAATCGTTAGAATCTTTATGTTTTAAAAGATGTCGCTGGAAAAGGTGTGGATTATTTGTCCCATAATCACAATCATCGCATTTAAAATCTTTAGAAACTGCATGTATTAGAAGATGTCGTTTGAAGATGCCTTTAACATTTGTCTCATAATCGCAAGTACCACATTTAAAATCCTTAGAAACTTGATGATTTAGCAAATGTTTTCTCAAGCTGCTTTTAAAATTTGTCTCATAATCACAGTTACCACATTTCAGATCCTTAGACAGTTTATGTTTTAACAGATGATCTTTGAAGTGGTGTTTATGATTAGTTCCATAATCACAAATACCACATTTAAAATCCTTTGAAACTTTATGTATTAAAAGATGTTGTTTAAAATTCTTTTGACGGTATGTCTCATAATCACAATTAGCACATTTAAGATACTTAGAAACTTTATGTTTCAAAAGATGTTCTTTGAAGTAGTGTTTAATATTTGTCCCAAAATCACAAACAGCACATTTAAATTCCATTGAAACTTTATGTATTAAAAGATGTTGTTTCATGTTGCTTTTATAATTTGTATCATAATCACAATCAGTACACTTAAAAGCTTTGGAAACATTATGTTTTAAAAGATGTTGTTTGAAGTAACTTTTTCCATTTGTCTCATAATCACACTTAGTACATTTGAAATCTTTAGAAACTTTATGTATTAAAAGATGTTTTTTGAAACTCTTTTTAATATTGGTCTCATAATCACACTCGCCACATTTAAAATCCTTAGAAATCTTATGTTTTAGCATATGTTGTTTGTAGTTGCTTTTGATATTCGTCTCATATTCACAATTAGCACATTTCAAGTCCTTTGAAACTTTATGCTTTAAAAGATGTCGGTTAAAGTTGCTTTTACGATTTGTCTCGTAATCACAATTAGGACATTTTAAATCCTTAGAAACTTTATGTTTTAAAAGATGTATTTTGAGGTGGTGTTTATTATTCGTCCAATAATCACAAGTAGCACATTTAAAATCCTTTGAAACTTTATGTTTTAACAGATGTTGTTTGAGATTGCGTTTAACATTGGTCCCATAATCACAATTATCACATTTAAACTGTTTGGAGATTGTTTTACACACAGTTAAAATGTTACGTTGACAGTCGGAGTGTTTCTGTGTTTCTTCATTATTAGGGCACTGTGTACTAATAGCCACTTCGTTCTTTACTGTCACCAAAACCTCGTTGTTTACTGAAATTTGTCCCTGAAGATTGGAATGGATTTCTTCTTCTTGTTTTGGTTCGATTTTAATGAGTGGTGTGCCATTATCTCCATCCATATCTAACAACCTATAAATTGATGTGTTAAAAGTTACATTAGTGTTACTTATGAACACAGGCAAAATACGCCAAATGATTACAAAAAAATTGTCATAGGCACCATCTTTTATTTTTCAATCTGAACTTATCCTCATGCCTGACAGTGTTGTCACTTTTCTGTAAATTCTTAATAGTGTTTCCTATTTAACTAACTTCGAATAATAGGTAGTCGGCCATTCCTGACATATCCGCTATTAATACTAGAGGTGCGGGTGTACTTTACAGCATTTTTTAAACATTGGGATATTTTTGCAGGTTTTTAAGTGAAATTGTACTAATTTGAATATGAATGTAATTTACCCGGTTGCCGTGTCAGGCCCCAGACCGTTTTTCTAATCCAACAGTGTTATTTCTATTTCTTCTGGTTCAGGAACATCTATAGCACCTAATGCATCCCAAAATCTGCTGCACAAAGCTCAATCTACTATTTTATGATTTAAAAGATGTTGCTTGAAGTAGCGTTTAACATTTGTCTGCTAATCACAATTAGCACATTTAAAATCTTTAGAAGATGCTCTTTGAAGTATAGGTAGTGTGTGATATTTGTCCCATAATGTGATATTTGTCCCATAATCACACAAAGCACAATCAAATTCATTAGAAACTTTATGTATTAAGATGTCATTTAAAGATGCTTTTGTGATTTGTCTCATAATTACAATTAGCACATTTGAGATACTGAGAAACTTAATGACAAAAGATGTACTTTTAAGGTGATTTTTATTATTTGATCGATATTAACATTTAAAAACCTTAGAAACTTTATGTTTTAACAGATGTTGTGCAAGGTAGCGTTTAACATTTGTCTGATAATCACAATTCGCACATTTAAAATCCTTAGAAGCTTTATGTATTAAAACATGCCGTTTAAAGGTGCTTTTAAAATTTGTCTCATAATTACAATTAGCACATTTAAAATCTTTAGCAACTTTATGTTTTAAAAGATGTTCTGCGAAGTAGCGTTTAACATTTGTATCATATTCACAATCAGCACATTTAAAAACACTAGAAACTTTATGTTTTGAAAGATGTCGTTGGAAGAGGTGTACATTATTTGTTCCATAATCACAATCAGCACATTTAAAATCCTTAGAAACTGTATGTATTGAAAGATGTCGTTTAAAGCTGCTTTTAAAATTTGTCTCAAAATTACAATTAGCACATTTAAGATCTTTTGAAACTTTATGTTTTAAAAGATGGCCTTTGAAGTGGTGTTTCTTATTCGTCGCATAATCACAAGTAGCACATTTAAAATCCTTTGAAGCTTTATGTATTAAAAGATGTTGTTTAAAGTTTCTTTTACGATTTGTTTGATAATCACAACTAGTACATTTAAAATCCTTTGAAACTTTATGTTTTAAAAGGTGATCTTTAAAGTGGTGTTCATTTTTTGACTCATAATCACAATCAGCACATTTAAAAATCTTGGAAACATTATGTTTTAAAAGATGTTGCTTGAGGTAGCGTTTAAATTTTGCCTCATAATTACACTTAACACATTTAAAAACATTAGAGTCTTTATGTTTTAACAGATGTTGTTTTAAGTTATCTTTAACATTTGTCTCATAATCACAATTAGCACATTTAAAATCATTAGAAGCGTTATGTGTTAAAAGATGTCGTTTAAAGTTGTGTTTATTATTTGTCCCGTAATCACAAGTAGTACATTTTAATTCCTTAGAAACCTTATGTTTTAAGAGATGTCGTTTGAAGTTGCCTTTAACGTTTGTCTCATAATTACAATTAGCACATTTAATATCTTTAGAAACTTTATGTTTTAAAAGATGTCGTTTGAGGTTGCGTTTAGTACTCGTCACATAATCACAATCAGCACATTTAAATTCTTTGGACACTGTTTTACACCGAGTTATAAGCTGACGTTGAAAGTCAGAGTGTTGCTGTGCTTCTTCATCATAAGGCGCACTAGAACACTGTGTACTAATAGTAATTTCGTCCTTTACTGATACCAAGACTTCGTTGTTTACTGAAATGTGTTCCTGAAGAAAGGAATCGATTTCTTCTTCTTGTTTTGGTTCGATTTTAATGAGTGGTACCACATTTCCGTCCATATTATAAATAAATGTGTTAAAAATCTGTTCGGATTTATCAAAAATCTATTTTGTTATTACACATTACAGAGTGAGATCCCAAAGCAACCAGACAATTAAGTACTTACTTCCTGAGTACCAGAACTTGTTGAATAATAGTTCGGTTCAGTGTTATCTCCTAACCCAAACACATAAACTATTTATAAAGTTTAACGTGGAAATAACAACATACAACAAAAATATCATAAACTCCATCTACCATCTTATTCTTCAATTTGAAGTTATCTCCATTCCCGACAGTGTTGTCACTTTGCTATAAATTCATAGTAAAGCGTTGATGTTTAATAACTTTACACACTTCGAACTTCTGCACTAATTTGAACGCCAATTGCAATTGACGTCATGCGCAAGGTGAGACTTGTTTAAATTCATATGAAAATTAATAAACTCGTTTTGTCGCCACATGGCAGGTATGATTATTTCCAGAGACAAGGTGCACTAAACGTAAACAAAGGTGGTTCATTTATTTATTTCAAAAAACGCAGCTGTTAAAAAAAATGGACTTGTTCCTATTGTTATTAATATACCTACTGAGGACGTTTCTGTCACTTAATTTAACGAGCTAATTTTGTCTATTGTGAATGATTTTTTTCTTAATTTTTGCGTCAAGTATAATTACTAATTCTAATTGCTAATTTTTGCATTATGAATGAAGCTTTACACTTTGTTGACGATTATTTGTATACAGCGTGTAAATTATTATTGAGAAAATTAATTAAAGTTGTGTTTAAATATTTAAAATCTTAGAGTCACGACTGCAGATACAGGCGTGCCTACCCTACAACCCTTACATGTTCCTTTCAATAAATGAGGTAAGTTCAGGAACACCTGTGATTTGAATTATCCCAAAAGCTGCTGGTGCGTAAATTACAACCTCTTATTTATCTCATAATCACAATTAGCACATTTTACAACTTTAGACTACTATATGTTTTAAAAGATGTTGTTTGAAGTAGCGTTTGACATTTGTCTCATAATCACATTTAGCACATTTAAAATCCTTCGTAGTTTTATGTTTTAAAAGATGTTCTTTGAAGTAGTGTTTATTATTTGTCCCATAATCACAAGTGGTGCATTTAAAATCCTTAGAAACTTTATGTTTTAAAAAATGTTGTACGAAGTAGCGTTTAACATTTGTCTGATAATCACAATTAGCACATTTAAAATCCTTAGAAGCTTTATGTTTTAAAACATGTTGTTTGAAACAACCTTTAACATTTGTCTCATAATGACAATTAGCGCATTTAAATTCCTTAGAAAGTTTATGTTTTAATAGATGTTTTTTATAGTTGCCTTTAGCATTTGTCTCATAATCACAATCAGCACATTTGAAATCCTTAGAAACTTCATGTTTTAAAAGATGTTGTTTAAAGTTGCTTTTATGATTTGTCTCATAATCACAATTTACGCACTTAAGACACTTATAAACTTTATGAATTAAAAGGTGTGCTTTGAAGTGGTTTTTATTATTTGTCCCATAATCACAATTTACATCACAATCACATTTAAACAACTTAGAAACTGTATGGTTTAATAGATGTTCTTTGAAATAGTGTTTATTATTTGTCTCAAAATCACAAGTAGCACATTTAAAATCCTTAGAAACCTTATGTGTTGAAAGATGTTGTGCAAAGTAGCGTTTAACATTTGTCTGATAATCACAAACAGCACATTTAAAATCCTTCGAAATTTTATGATTTAAAAGATGTTGTGTGAAGTAATATTTAACGTTTGACCGATAATCACAATTAGCACATTTAAAATCCATCGGAACTTTATGTTTTAAAAGATGTTTTTTAAAGTTGCCTTTAAGATTCGTCTCATAATCACAGTCGGCACATTTAAAATCCTTAGAAGCTTTATGCTTTAAAAGATGTTGCGAGAAGTAGCGTTTCACGTTGGTCCGATAATCACAATTACCACATTTAAAATCCTTAGCAACTTTATGTTTTAAAAGATGTTCTTTGAAGTAGCGTTTAACATTTGTCTGATAATCACAATCGGCACATTTAAAATTTTTGGACACTGTTTTACACAGAGTTAATAGGTGACAGTGTTGGTGTACTTCTTCATTATAAGGAGATTTTGAACACTCTGTAGGTGTACTAATGGTAATTTCATCCTTTACTGTCACTAACACATCGTTGCTTACTGAAATGTGTCCCTGAAGAAAGGAATTGATTTCTTCTTCATGTTTTGGTTCGATTTTAATGAGTGGTATGACATTTACCTCCATACCTAACAACAATAAATGACTTACTTTCTGAGTACTCTCGAAATTGTTGATTAGAAGTTATACTTTCGTCTTCTCACTTAATTAAAGCAAACTAATGCAAAAGATTACATAAAAAAATAGACGCCATCTTATATTCATCAATCTCTTATCTTCATTTCCAACAGCGTTCAATTCAAAAACAGAGTTGTCACTTTTGTATAAATTAATTCAAAAGCGTTGTTGCCAACTCATTTAACTTACTAATCGGTCATTCCTAAAATATTATCCCTAGATCATAAAACTAAAAAGATAAAGCGAGAACAAAATCTTCAATAATTGCGGTTTTAGTATACGAAACCCTACTTGACGGCGACACCTCATCGTCCACAAACACCTACGTTAAAGTCTCAAGAATATCGGTGGGTGTAGATTAGTGTGCCCTGACACACTAGAGGGTGATCTAGGGAAAAAATATCTCTTCCGTTTTGATAAATTAATGTGTCCGAACAGGCTGGACTTCCTCCTGTTCCTTGTGCAATTATACTCCCAATATGTTTTGGAGAGTTTATACAACTCATATAGGCCTCTCTTGGAAATGATAATATAATTCCTTCTAAAATAGAAAAATGGTGGCCCAGTACAAGGAGTAACTGTGATTTGTGTAACATACGTGTATGTTTGGTTGCATATTGTAAGCAACCTATGACAACGTCGCATTTGTATATACACGGCGGCATCGCCACCCACCCGTATGAAGTCACGCAATAAACATGCTTCCTAAAACTATCGCATTTATTATCACAATTAGTCGTAAATAGCATAAGCGTTACAATTTGAAGATAGCGCCTTATGTAATACAAAAACCGTTATTCAAAGTCCATAGCTATGTATGAAAGATTGTTAACCTAAAATTGTAAAATATAATTTAATAATAAAAAAATTTAGATTAGATATCAAGTCGAAATTATTGCAAGAACAATCTTAAATCACAGCAAATGACTTAATAATTGAATTTGAGATTTACTTTTGATAAATAAATTATTTTTTGTTAATGAACGGAATCACATGGCTTAGATAGAAGAGTAGACATGGTATGTTTCATTCCATTACGGAATCTCGCCCTTTATATAGTTTCGATGTATTTCATTTAGATAGCGAATAAACACATTTATTATCATTAACATTATTACTATCTTTTTTATTATTAATTTAACTCATAAATACAATTAGCGTATTTAAAGACTTTAGGCTCTTTTATGTTTTAAAAGGTGCTGCTTAAGATAGGTCTTACTTTTTGTCTCAAAATCACAAATAGCACATTTAAAATTATTAGAAACTTTATGTTTTAAAAGATGTCCTTGGAAGAAGTGGGCATTATTTGTCCCATAATCACAATCAGCACATTGAAAAACTTTAGAAATTTTATGTCTCAAAATATGCCGTTTGAAGAGGTACTTATTACTTGTCCCATAATCACAAGTAGCACATTTGAAATCTTGAGACTCTTTATGTATTAAAATATGTTTTTTGAAGTTGCCTTTAACATTTGTCTCATAATCACAATCTGCACATTTAAAATCCTTATAAACCTTATGTTTTAACACATGTTGTTTTAAGCTGCTTTTAAGATTTGTCTCATAATCACAATTAGCGCATTTAAGATCCTTAGAAACGGTATGTTTTAAAAGATGTGCTTTGAAGTGATATTTATTATTTGTCCCATAATCACAAGTAGCACATTTAAAATCCTTTGTAACTTTATGTTTTAAAAGATGTCGTTTAATGCTGCTCTTAAGATTAGTCTCATAATCACAATTGGCACATTTAAAATCCTTAACTCTTTGATGTTTTAAAAGATGTTGTTTTAAACTGCCTTTATCATTTGTCTTATAATCACAACTAGAACATTTAAAATCTTTAGAAACTTCATATTTTAACAGATGATGTTTGAAGTTCCTTTCAACATTTGTCTCATAATCACAATTAGCACATTTAAAATCCTTTGCAACATTATGTATTAAAAGATGTCGTTTAATGCTGCTTTTAAGATTTGTCTCATAATCACAATTGGCACATTTAAAAACATTAGTAACTTTGTGTTTTAAAAGATGTCGTTGGAAGCGGAGTGCACTATTTGTCTCATAATCACAATCGGTACATTTACAATCTTTAGAAATTTTATGTTTTAAAAGATGTCGTTGGAAGAAGTGAGCGTTATTTGTCCGATAATCACAATCAGCACATTTGAAAACTTTAGAAATTTTATGTCCTAAAATATGTCGTTTGAAGAGGTACTTATTACTTGTCCCATAATCACAAGTGGCACATTTCAAATCCTTAGAAACTTTATGTATTAAAAGATGTTTTTTGAAGTTTCCTTTAACATTTGTCTCATAATCACAAGTACCACATTTAAAATCGTTAGAAACTTTATGTTTTAACAGATGTTGTTTGAAGCTGCTTTTAACACTTGTCTCATAATCACAATTAGCGCATTTAAAATCCTTAGAAATTGCATGTCTTAAAAGATGTGTTTTGAAGTGCTGTTTCTTATTTGTCCCATAATCACAAGTAGCACATTTAAAATCCTTAGAAATTTTATGTTTTAACAGGTGTGCTTTGAAGTAGTGTTTATTATTTGTCCCATAATCACAAGCAGCACATTTAAAATCATTTTCAACTTTATGTTTTAGAAGATGCTGTTTAATGCTGCTTTTATGATTTGTCTCATAATCACAATTGGCACATTTAAAATCCTTAGATACTTTATGTATTAAAAGATGTTGTTTCAAGCTGCCTTTAACATTTGTCTCATAATCACAATCAGTACATTTAAAATCTTTAGAAAGTTTATGTTTTAACAGATGATGTTGGTAGTTCCTTTTAACATTTGTCTCATAATCACAATTAGCACATTTAAAATTCTTAGAAAATTGTTTTAACAGATGTTGTATGAAGTTTCTTTTACATTTTGTACCACATTTAAAATCCTTCAAGACTTTATGCATTAAAAGATGTCGTTTAAAGTTGCTTTTACGATTTGTCTCATAACTACAATTAGCACATTTAAACTGATCAGACGCTGTTAAAAGGTAATGTTCAAAGTCAAAGTGTTGTTGTACTTCTTCATTATAAAGAGATTTACAACACTGTGTACTAATGGTAACTTCGTCCTTTACTGTTACCAAAACTTCGTTGGGTACTGTAATGTCTCCCTGAAGAAAGGAATTAATTTCTTCTTCATGTTTTGGTTCGATTTTAATGAGTGGTACATCATTTCCGTCCATACCTAACAACAATATTGTTATAAATAAATGTGTATAAGTGTTTTGTTTATCAAAAATTTATTTTGTTAGTACTTATATAATACAGAGCGAGAGCCCAGAGCAACTAGACATTAAGTACTTACTTTCTGAGTATCACACGGTTATCTTCTCACTCACACACACGCAAAATACTTAAATACTTTATTAAACAAACCATGAAACTGACTACACATTACAAAAAATTTTACAGACGCCATCTTTAATTCATAAAATGAAACCTCATGCCTGACAGTGTTGTCACTTTTCTATAAATTCACACTTAAGGGTGTTTGAGTTTATTAATAACTTCCAACGTATAAATTTTTATTGATTTATCTAAATAAATAAAATTGTGGTTTGTGTGATAAATCCTTAACTGGTGAGAAAGATATAACTTGTGCAAGGTGCCATGTGCCTGACATTCTTCATCCCCGACAAGAAAAGACTAACCTACCAATACGATCAGTGTATTAAGGAAAAATTAGTTAACTCTCGTCAGGAAAGATTGTCGATCACGAGATGGTTAGTTTCCCTTTATCGTCGTGTATAATACAAAACTTAATTTTATATCAGAATATTGTAAAGCTACTGACAATTCTGAATTTATGAGATGTCAAAAATAGCAAGCTTAGGTTCTGCTTTCGTTGTTTAACCAATCAGTAATCTTGTTTATGGCAACCGAAAAAGCCAACTTCAGCCGCCATCGTTTGTTTATTGAAACTACTTCGGAACAACAAGGAAGCTCTTTCGCTCATATTCCTTTCGTAATTATTCCAATTTCTAGACACGCGCCGTATCGATCACTAAATCAAGATTTGGAATCAATTGATCTTATTTGTATTTTTCATTAATAAACTCGTTAACCATTAGGGTCGATATCCTTTAAACATCCCTCTTATACAAAAGCAATTACATTCATACAGTCCATTATACAGGGCGTTTCAAAAAAAATCATCAGATTTTAAAAATTTATTGCTATTCATCTATAAGTCCGATTTGATAGAACAATGTACTGTTAGTAAGAGGAAGCTCTCGAGTTTCGCGTGGTTTCCGCTAGGTAGCAGTAGCGCGCTTCTGTCAACGCCCAGCTCAGTTATTGTCAAAATGGCGTCTAAACAACAGAAAGCCTACAAAATCGGATGATTCTTTTTGAAACGCCCTGTATTATTTTTATTAATATCGAAACTTCACACGCATCAGGCGTGTTACTCAATTACTAATATTTAAACGTCAATGTCGAGATGTTCGTCGTGGCGGAGGCTAGATATGCCCTATTTATTGGTACCTGAATCAAACCGAGCTAGCTAACAGTTGCTTGTGGGTCTTTTGGCGACCGTTTGGCGTTTGCCATTGCACATACATACATAGAAATAATATGTAATATGTTCATGTGTATATTAGTATTATCGACTATTGTACACAGCATTCTCTATACCTATACTTATATTGCATTTTGTGAAATATATTTATACCTAATGGAATAATTTTTAATGTATATGTGGAATAAAATAAATATTCAATTTGTAGTAGCTAAATAGCAGTGTGCCATGTAAGGATCCTTTCAGCGTACAGGCCCTAAGACATGGCCTGATGTGAAAACCACCTAAGGTATCCCAAAAGCTGCCCAATCTATTATTTATCTCATAATAATCACAATCAGCACATTTAAATACTTTAGATTCTCTTATGTTTTAAAATGTGATGTTTAAGATAGGTTTTACTTTTTGTCCCAAAATTGCAATTGGCACATTTAAAATCCTTAGAAAGTTTATGTTTTAACAGATGTTGTTTGAAGTAACGTTTCACATTTGTCCCATAATCACAATCAGCACATTTAAAGTCATTAGAAACTTTATGTTTCAAAAGATGTTCTTTGAAGAGGTGTTTATTATTTGTCCCATAATCACAATCGGCACATATAAAATTTTTAGAAACTTTATGTTTTAAAACATGTATTTTGAGGCTGCTTTTAAATTTTGTCTCATAATCACAATCAGCACATTTAAAAACGTTAAAAACTTTATGCTTTAAAGCATCATGTTGTTTGAAGCTGCTTTTAAAATTTGTCTCATAATCACAATCGGCACATTTGAAACGTTTATAACCTTTATGTTTTAAAAGGTGTTGTTTAATATGGGACTTATAATATGTCTCATAATCACAGTTAGTACATTTAAATTCCTTGGAATTTGTATGTTTTAAAAGGTGTTGTTTAAGATGTGATTTATAATATGTTTCATAATCGCACGTACCACATTTAAAATCCTTAGAAACTTTATGTTTTAAAACATGTTGTTTGAAGTAACGTTTAACATTTGTGCCATAATCACAAATAGCACATTTAAAATCTTTAGAAACTTGATGTTTTAAAAGATGTTCTTTGAAGTGGTGTTTATTATTTGTCCTGTAATCACAAGTAGCACATTTAAAATCCTTAGAAACTTTATGATTTAAAAGATGTTGTTTGAAGTAACGTTTAACATTTGTCCCATAATCACAATCAGCACATTTAAAATCACTTGAAACTTTATGTTTTAAAAGATGTGAATTGAAGTAGCATCTAACATTTGTCCCATAATCACAAGCAGTACAATTAAAGTCCTTAGAAATTTTATGTGTTGAAAGATGTCGTATGAAGAGCAGTTTATAATTTGTTTCATAATCACAATCGGCACATTTAAAATCTTTTAAAACTTTATGTTTTAAAACATGTTGTTTGAAGCTGCTTTTAAAATATGTCCCAAAATCACAAGCAGCACATTTAAAACATTTTGACACTGGTTGACGTTGAAAGTCAGAGTGTTGCTGTACTTCTTCATTGTAAATAGATTTAGAACACAGTGTACTAATGGTAATTTCGTTCTTTATTGGCACCAAAACTTCATTGCTTACTGAAATGTATCCCTGAAGAAAAGAATTGATTTCTTCTTCTTGTTTTGGTTCGATTTTAATGAGCGGTACATCATTTCCATCCATACCTAACAAATGTGTTAAAAAGAATTACTGTTATCTCACTCGCCAAACGATTAAATAATTATTAAGGCAAACACATATACGAAAATGTCTTAGCCGCCATCTTAAATTAATTAATCTGAACTTATCTTCATGCCTGACACCATGCAGGATTGCCAACTTTTTAATTTCAGATTTATCGGTGAAATGGCACTTGGCTATCGCCGAAAAACGGTAAAGTTGCGACTTTTTAAAATCACCCAAAATCGCCAGAAATAAATTTCACATTATAACTAAAAAATGTATGGAATTTATTTCATATTTAAACAATCCCATATTCACTGATCGTTAAAGGTAGCACAACTCTTGACAATAACCAACAATATGCGTGTGATGTAAGTAAGTACGTACTAATGAAATTAATGTGATTGAGAGGAATTTAATTTATGAAGCGTAAGCGTTTTCAAAGTCGCCCATTTTGCGATATAACGCAAATATTAAAAAATAGGAGCCCCTGAACTCTTCTCCTTAGTCCCATAAGGGCAACTGTGTTAACTTTAGTGAAATATGTTTATTTAGCTTTGCTTTTATGTTTAAAAACTTTAATGCAAAAGTACATTATAAGAAAAGGTAGGTAGTTATACCCAAAATAGTCAAAATCTATCAGAATACATGTTCCTGAAATGCAGCGTTGCTAAATCCTATCATATAGCAATAGACGTAATAGCCCCGCCCCTTAGTACCAACCTTCTTTAATTTAACAGGGTCAATGATGTCGCCATCCTCCTGACTGTGGTTCCGCTCCCGTGGTTCGAGACCGGTGCGACGTTGTCACGTTTACCTTATAGTAGGTTTACCTACCTGTGCTAGATACCTAATTCATTTTATTTGGACTTTGAATATTATCATTATCAGTTAGCTACATCGCAGGTCCTAATGGTCTTTCTCTATTCCGTTCGATCTCTTCCAAGCTGCCCCGGCTCCGGGTTCTCTCTGAACTAGGTACCTATTAAGATTGTTACAATATTTCACTCCATCCGCACACTTTCCAAAACTAACATCTATATTTCCATCACAGCATTCTTCTGACATTTAAAAAATAGTTGGGAGTTTCTGCACATTTGCTAGTGCCAGTTTTCCTTGCCAGCGGTATCATTATTGTTTGTTATAAACTCAATTTGATACCGTCGCAAGTGTTAAATTTTCGTAATTATAAAGTTAAAAGTTTAGTGTTATAAAGTAAAAGCAAACTAAAAGGTACGAGATTGTTAATTAAAAAGTAGACATGAGTTGTACGAAGTCGCTTGCGAGAGATACCGATTCCGGAACGAGTGGGCCCTGAACGAAAAATCAAAGCAAAGATCAACAATGCAGTTATGACTGTAAGGTCATCGTGAGATCAGCCGGCAATATTTTTCTTTACTATTGTATATTTGAAACAATGGCGTCATTTATATTTGATACTTCATGTTTAAACTGAAAACTTTGACTATTTCATACCTTGGTTAATGTTTTTGGATATTTGTTTAATTGATTCTAATATTTTTGTAGGGCCACTTGGCGAAGAGAATTCTCAATTTTGCTGGAGGTGTGTGTCGATATGACAGATTTCTGTTGTTATGATGCATAAGTTTGGTTTACAACAAATATTTAGTTCATGGCCTAGTTGTAAGGAAAGTTAGACGGCTTTTGAATCAATTAATAGAAAAGTGACAACACTGTTTTCAAAATGAAGAATGCATGAAGCAATGTAGATAAGTTCACAATGATGAAACTAAGATGGCGTTTATTGTTGTAGTATGTAGTGTTTTCCATGGTTCGTTTTAATAATCTTTAAGTAAGTGCTTAGTGTCTGGTTTCTCTGAGATCACGCTTTGTATTATTAAATACCAAAATAAATGTTTAATAAATCAAAACACCATTGTTGTTAGGTATGGACGGAAATGAGGTACAACTCATTAAAATCGAACCAAAACAAGAAGAAGAAATCCATTCCTTTCTTCAGAGCCACACTTCAGTAAAGAACGAAGTCTTGGTGTCAGTAAAGGACGAAATTACTATTAGTACACAGTGTTCTATATCTCCGTACGATAAACAAGTGCAGCAACCATCAGGTGGGCAAGGTCACCTTTTAACTCTTTGTAAAACAGAGTTTAAAGAATTTAAATGTGCTGATTGTGATTACGAGTCAGATTATAAGAGCAACTTCAACAAACATCTTTTAAAACATAGAGTTTGTAAGGATTTGAAATGTGCTCATTGTGATTATGAAACAAATCACAAAAACCTCTTAAAACAACATCTTTTAAAACATAAAGTGTCTAAGGATTTTAAATGTGCCGATTGTGATTATGAGACAAATGTTAAAGGCAGATTAAAGCAACATCTTTTAAAACATAAAGTTTCTAAGGAGTTTAAATGTGCTCTTTGTGATTATGGAACAAATATGAAACACCACTTCAAACGACACCTTTGATACATAAAGTTTCTAAGGATTTGAAATGCCCTGATTGTAGTTACGGGACAAATAATACACAATACTTCAAAGAACATCTTTTAAAACATAAAGTTTCTAAGGATATTAAATGTGATAATTGTGATTATGAAACAAATCACAAAAACCTCTTAAAGCAACATCTCTTAAAACATAAACCTTCAAAGGATTTTAAATGTGCCGATTGTGATTATGAGACAAATATTAAAGGTAGCTTCAGTCAACATATTTTAATACATAAAGTTTCCAAGGATTTTAGATGTACTGCTTGTGATTATGGGACAAATCATAAACGCCATTTCAAACGGCATCTTTTAATACATAATGTTTCCAGGGATTTGAAATGTGCCGATTGTGATTATCAGACAAATATTAAAAGCAAGTTTAAGTACCATCTTTTAAAACATAAAGTTTCAAAGGATTTTAACTGTGCTACTTGCGATTATGGGACAAATGATAAAAACCTCTTGAAACGACATCTGTTAAGACATAAAGTTTCTAAAGATTTTAAGTGTGCCAATTGTGATTATGAGACATATTATAAATCTCAACTTAAACGACACCTTTTAAACCACAAAGTGTCTAAGGATTTCAGATGTGCTGATTGTGATTACAAGACAAATTTTAAAGACATCTTCAATCGACATCTTTTAAAACATAAAGTTTCGAAGGATTTTAAGTGTGCTTCATGTGATTATGGGACAAATCGTGAATGCCACTTCAAACGACATCTCTTAATACATAAAGTTGATAAAGATTTTAAATGTGCTAAGTGTGATTATGGTACAAATAATAAACAGCTCTTCAATCAACATCTTTTAAAACATAAAATTTCTAAAGATTTTAAATGTGATCATTGTGATTATGAGACAAATAATAGAAACCTCTTTAACGGACATCGTTTAAAACATAAAGTTTACAATGACTTTAAATGTGCAAATTGTGATTATGGGACAAATGTTAAATACAGGTTCAAGCAACATCTTTTAAAACATAAAGTTACTAAGGATTTTAAATGTGATAATTGTGATTATCAGACAAATAATAAAACCCTCTTAAAACGACATCGTTTAAATCATACAGTTTCCAAGGAATTTAAATGTGCTGATTGTGATTATGAGACAAATGTTAAAAGCAGCTTCAATAAACATTTGTTAGTGCATAAAGTTACTAAAGATTTGAAATGTGCTGATTGTGATTATGAGACAAACTATAAACAGCACTTTAAAAAACATCTTTTAAAACATAAAGGTTTTAAATGTACTAATTGTGATTATGTGACAAATTTGAAACGCTCCTTCAATCGACATCTTTCAATACATAAGAGAGTCTAAAGTTGTTAAAAGTGCTATCTTCAAATCACAGGTTCTGGTGAGGTTATCTCATTGATATCACATTTAACGACTACACTACATTAGGAAAAGGGCCGAGTTCTTTTCATTGCTCTAGTTTTACACTAGACTCATAAGGCAGTGACTTAGGACCCGTGTGCTGAAAGGGTCCTGACAGCACACAGCTTCTACAATTTGAAAAGGTACCAATTTATCTCAATAAATACATTACCAAAAAAATTGTTCCATTGTAAATGTATGTAAATTACAATAAAATAATATTTATGCGTAGCAGTCATAATTAACACATATCAGATATAGTTGGTACAATGAATAAGTGTGTTTTTGCTACAGCACTCGTGCGGTTAGGTTTCTTGACGTTAGGAAACATTTAAAGCGCCCCTAGTATCGTTTTTAGTTTACGGTGAGGTCGGTAAAACAAGAAACCCATATACATGTGTTAGAACGGCAAGGGTATAGGTATAAGATAGCAATAGCCAATAGAAACAAAGGTTTATTATTATTGTGCGTCGCTAACCAATGAAACCGTATTTTTGTTACTATTGGCTATTGCTTAATGATAATGAACTAATGATAATGATTGTATAAACCGTTTCTGTCAACAGACATCATCACCTAAATCTGTTGACGTTATCAGGGAAGAGGTACGAAACAAATTGTAGGGGTGGAGATGAGAAGAATTGTGGTGAAAAATGGACGTCCGCTAGTCGTACGGCTCCCTGATGTAACTGAATAAATCAAGTAATTACGTAAAAAAAATCGGATATGTGCACCGAGCCCACGGTCGTAGACACAGGTTTGGAAACCCCGTTGTATGCGATGGGGCTCTTACGTATCGTCAGACACGTAGTTCTTCGCTCAGCTATCAGGTGGCGCATGGAAGTATGTTTCCAGGATTAATCGCCATATCGCATAGATAAGCGCAGGTAAAGCATGCGTGGCATTAGCGCAGATGGCTACACCGCGACGGCGCAAGTTACCGATACGAATAGATATGTAGTTGTAGGCTTATTTTCTGTATGATCGCAGTGTTTTTACTTTACACATGAAAGATTTTTCATATTATGTACTTGTGACAAAAATAAACCGACATATTCCTAATCTATAACTTCATTGACGTTACCACAGATAAATAACGTGGTGGAAGATCTTATACAATGCCAAATTTCCATTTTATCATTGGCATTAGTTTTAAAAGGAAAAAAAACTTCAAAATACTGAGATTCCCCAACCTCAGCAACATCCTGTGAATTTGATTGTCGATACGAAGCACCCTATACATCGTGTTAGTTACAAAATGCTGCCAACCGAAATCTGGGGAGATTACAGAAAAGGGAAAGAGCGTAAATGAGACTGATGGAATTTCTCGGAAGACCACGTGTTTACCATTTCAAACACCTGCAGTCCAGTTTTTTCCTAGCTAGAAATGCAGGGAACGGGCAGTTTTCGGGTGGTTTTTAGGGGTGTTAAGAGATCAAGTTACAACGTCGCTTGGGGAAGTTAAGAAATACGTTGTAGAGAATGTGCTCATGGTCTTTTTCTTGTCAAAAGCGCTATTGTCACAGCCAACTTTGCTTACACCCTCATGCGGAATTAAACCCAAAAGAGTTTTGTTGTTAACCATTACTGCTACACACGTTTGAAGTTAATACATACAGTTAATAATTTGCTCCATGACTTTTTCCACCCTACGCTCTGTATACCTACTTCTACTTCTGAAACAGAAAATCGAATACCTACACATTTAATGTACTAATGGAACAAAGTAAATATTCAAATTGTAGTTTCTAACGCAGTTCGTAGTCGTTAAATTTATTTGGTTGAATGAGCTCAGGACCACATATGATTTGAAGATAGTGTATAATGTATCCCAAAAAGTATAGTGTAAAGTTCAATCTATTATATATCAATCACTATTAGCACATTTAAAAACCTTAGACCTTTTTATGTTTTAAAACGTACAGTACCACATTTCAAATCCTTAGAAACTGTGTTTTAAACGATGTTGTTTGAAGTAGCCTTTAAAATTTGTCTCATAATCACAAAAACCACATTTAAAATCCTTAGAAACATTATGTTTTGAAAGATGTTGATTGAAGTGGCCTTTAAAATTTGTCTCATAATCGCAAAAACCACATTTAAAATCCTTAGACACTTTATGTTTTAAAAGATGTTGTTTGAAGTTGCTTTTATAATTTGTCTTATAATCACAAGCAGCACATTTCAAATCCTTAGATACTTTATGTATTAAAAGATGTTGTTTGTACATCCACTTATCATTTGTGCCGTAATCACAATAAACACATTTAAAATCCTTAGACACTTTATGTATTAAAAGATGTCGTTTGAAGTGGTATTTATTAGTCGTCCTATAATCGCATGTAGCACATTTAAAAACCTTAGAAATTTTATGTTTTAAAAGATGTTGTAAAAGGTTGCTTCTATAATATGTCTCATAATCACAATCAGCACATTTAAATTCCTTCGAAACTTTATGTTTTAAAAGATGTTGTTTAAAGTTGTTTCTATAATTTGTCTTATAATTACAATCGATACATTTAAGATCCTTGAAAGCTTCATGTTTTAAAAGGTGTTTTTTCAGATTGGATTTATAATATGTTTCATAATGACAATCACCGCACTTAAAATCCTTAGTAACTTTATGTTTTAAAAGATGTTTTTTTAAGCTGTCTTTAAGATTTGTCTCATAATCACAATTAGCACATTTGAAATCCTTAGAAACTTTATGTTTCAAAACATGGTGCTCGAAGTTGCGTTTAACATTTGTTTCATAATCACAATAAGCACATTTTAAATCTTTGTACTCTGTTTTATATTGCATTAAAAAGTCACATTGAAAGTCAGAGTTTTGCTGTACTTCTTCATGATAAAGAAATTTAGAACACGGAGTACTAATGGTAGTTTCGTCCTTTACAGTCACCAAAACTTTGTTGCTTACTGAACAGTGCCCCTGAAGAAAGGAATTGATTTCATCTTCTTGATTTGGTTCAATTTTAATGTGTGGTACATCATTTCTGTCCATACCTAACAACAATGAAGTTGTAAATAAAAGTGCCAAAAAAGAGCGATCTCCCAGAGCAACCAGAAATTACTTACTTTCTGATGATTAAATTTGTTGAATAAGAGTTACACGTTACACTGTTAACTTCTCACTCAAATACTCCCAAAATACTTCAATACTTTATTAAAATAAACCGTGGAAATTACATAGGTAACAAAAATGGCCGCCATCTTATATTCATCAAACTGAACTTATCTTCAAACCTGATTTTATAAGATTTTTTAACAAAGATGTCACTTTTCTATAAATTCATACAAAAGCATTGTTGACTACATACAACTTATATTTATATTTATTAAACAAATGTCATACACGCCATCTCATTTTTCATTTGTCTACATGCCTAAATTAATTATTTTGAAACTATGTTGTCGCTGTTTATATAAAATCATACAAAAGCACTGATGCAAACAAACATACTTATCATTATCTAGCAGCTTTGATACAACATAGAGTCCCTTAAATTTCGCCAGAAGTTTTATTGTACCCTGGCCTAGTGAAGGAAAGAGAGGAGTGATTCGTAGAGTGTAGCCAATGTAATTTGTTTGTGCACCTAAAACATGGCCGCCTACAGTTCATTAATGTCAAAGTAGCAACTCACATGGACCAAGGTTGGGGCATTTCAATACAAATCTTCTGATAATAACTTACACAAAAAAAACGAAGTTATACATGTGAGATGGGCATACCTTTATGACAAAGGCTAGATACTTAACATCAAAAACAAAATCTACGAACGCAACCAAAGAAGCCAGACACTGCCGTCCTTCCCGGTAGCGGAGCCACTACCAAAATACCTAGAATTTTATTTTTAGAATTTGAATGTTTTTGTAATCAATTGGGGTTAGGTACCTGGTTTTTGAAAAGAGGGATACTAAATAACAACAGCCGGATTTACTGTTAGATAGGATGGAAATTTCCATTCCGGGGGGGGTTAGTTTCCGACTCAGGGGTGAAGAGGGTTTTTATTTGTTGAAAGGAAGTTCGGCGCCTTTTTGGAATGTGAAGAAGGACACTACCTACTACCTTCGAGAGAGTTTCGTTCCCGTAGTTTACAATTCGAGAGTTCATATCAGGTGATGTAATTGGTTTTTGTTAATTCATTAATTGCATGTAATGTAAATTGTGTTCCCTCATATTTATAATATCATTTTGGAATTTGTACTTCAATCCGAATATTCACATAACTGCCAATTTTGTACTTTGTTTGTAAGGGGATGCCTGGTGTTAAATATCTTGCCAAAATGTTATGGGGAAAGCGACCCTCTAGCTGGGGAAGTTTCGGATTTGTGTTTATTATGTTAACTTGGAAGGCGCCTATATGACTATTCAGATTCGTGTTCACAGTTGTTGAGTAGCTTAGTTGTAGAGTAGAAGCGTTGATTTTCTACGTGTGCAATGACCATTTATGAGAGGACACTAATCTTTCGACCGTGAGAAACTAGAGTCCATCGGCGAAACAAATTATAAAATTGCAAGAAAACCACAAGGCAAGCGACTCTAGTTTCGAACCTTCAGCTTTAGGCAAGTTGTACTCGCAAACCCAGAGCAGTCTTGTTACCTGTTCCAGGGGTGGAACTATAATTAACAGTCTTCCGTTTCTGAAAGGTGTGTGTGACCGAGTTTGGGTATAATCGTGAGATAATTGACGCTTGGGAACACGAGTTTGGATGTCATTGCTATTTCATGTTGTACCGACTACGCCAGCTAGAAGAGTTTATTCCCCTGGTATTGTTCCAATCCGTTGTTCCAATAATGACTATTTTATATCGCCGTAATGACTACTATTTACCAAGTACTGTTAAGAGTATTGTATTATATTTCAGGAAACCCCGTGTTAGCTTGTTTATTAACGTCAACCCCTTTAGCTTCTACGAACACGAGTAGAGGGTTTCTCTGGCAGAGGTCTTCCCTCGCACAGGCCTACTCGTTAGGGACTTCTGCATTTCCAAATTATTAGGGAATCTGTTTGGGTAACAATAAATACTTTAGGCCGCATTTGACTGTTTCTTTTCCTTCCCGATAGCAGCCCCCATTCCGAGTGTAACGGTTACCACTTAACGGTGAGTAAAATGTAGGGTCTCTGTCCTAGGCGATCCGATCACGAGCCATTTGTTCCGGCAGAGGAGAAGGCTGGACATGGTAGCCATATCCTTTTAGTATTTTCCCGCCGTATTTGAATTTAGTGTTCGGAGTGAAGTTAGTTGACCCTTTAAGATCATTACACATGTACATACATTTCGGATATTAATTTTATATTTATATAGTTAGATAAATAACGGGGTCGGTATCATCAATTGTATTGGAAATGTAGCGTTGTATCAGACAGTGGTTCAAACCTCACGTTAATTTTATGACTTATGAGTAATTTCTACCATTTATTTGTACTTCTATGCTAGTATATTAAAAATGAAGTTTTGTCTTTCTCAAAAACTGTTGCTAAAACTCTAATCTATTATTAACTCATAATCGCAATTAGCACATTTAAAAACCTTAGACTAATTTATGAATTAAAAGATGTCGTTTGAGTCTGCCTTTAACATTTGTCCCATAATCACAATTAGCACATTTAAAATCTTTAGAAGGTTTATGTATTAAAAGATGTTGTTTGAAGTAGTATTTATTATTTGTCCCAAAATCGCAAGTAGCACATTTAAACTCCATAGAAACTGTATGTATTAAAAGATGTCGTTTGAACCTGCCTTTAAAATTTGTCTCATAATGACAATTAGCACATTTAAAATCCTTAGACACTTTATGTTTTAAAAGATGTTCTTTGAAATAGTATTTATTATTTGTCCCAAAATCACAAGTAGCACATTTAAATTCCTTAGAAACTCTATGTATTAAAAGATGTCGTTGGAAGCTGCCTTTAACATTTGTCTCATAGCCACAATTACCACATTTAAAATCCTTAGAAACTTTATGTTTTAAAAGATGTTGTTTCAAGATGCCTTTAACATTTGTTTCATAACCACAATTAGCACATTTAAATTCATTAGAAACTTTATGTTTTAAAAGATTTTGTTTCAAGTTGCCTTTAACATTTGTTTCACAATCAAAATTAGTACATTTAAAATCCTTAGAAATTGTATGTTTTAAAACATGTTGTTTAAAGCGGCATTTAACATTTGTCTTATAATCACAATTGGCACATTTAAAATCCTTAGAAACTTTGTGTATTAAAAGGTGTTGTTTGAAGTGGCGTTTAACATTAGTCTCATAATCACAATGAGAACACTTAAGATCCTTAGAAACTTTATGTTTTAAAAGATGATCATTGAAGTGGTGTTTATTGTTTGTACCAAAATCACAAGTAGCACATTTAAAATCCTTAGAAACTTTATGTATTAAAAGATGTTGTTTGAAGTGGGGTTTAACGTTTGTTTCATAATCACAATTAGCACATTTAAATTCCTTAGAAAGTTTATGTTTTAAAAGATGTTGTTTCAAGCTGCCTTTAACATTTGTTTCATAATCACAATTAGCACATTTAAAATCCTTACAAACTTTATGTTTTAAAAGATGTTTTTTAAAGTTGCCTTTAAGATTTGTCTCATAATCACAATCAGCACATTTAAAATCCTTGAGCACTGTTTTACATCTAGTTAAAGGGTCATCGTCTTCATTAGAACGCGAAGTACTAATTGTAAATTCGCCCTTTACTGTCACCAAAACTTCGTTGCTTACTGAAATGTGGCCTTGAAGAAAGGAATCGATTTCTTCTTCTTGTTTTGGTTCGATTTTAATGAGTGGTACATCATTTCCGTCCATACCTAACAATAATACAGTTATAAATATTCTGAGCAACAGAATTTGTTGAATAACAGTTACATTGGTATCTCCTCACTCAAAAACTGGCAAAATACTTGATTAAAACAATCATAAAAATGACTATACACTCAGAGCAACAAATAAACAACTATACAAAAAGTAATAGGCGCCATTTTAATTTCATCAAATATAGCCATATACCTATGTACTCTATAGTGTATTATGAATTAGAACTATTCATGAAGGCTGACAGCGTTGCCACTGTTCTATAAATTCATATCAAGTCAAAGTCAGTTGACACAGCGTTGGGTATTAAGACAGTGTTTCGTAGCTCACGTCAAGTTAAATGTAATTTCTACCATTTATTTCAGCTTCTAATACATTAAAAATGAAGAGATATGTTCTTAAAATAAAATTAATCCCTGCAAATAGCACACTACACTGTTGTAACAAAATACTTATGTACGCTAAAACTATAAAAACCGTTGCAAATCTTTTCTGGTAGGAAGTAAAAAAATATAATTCACTTTGCAACGGAAAATTGGTGGACCGCTACAAGAATCACCTGTGATTGAAGATAGCGCCTTATGTAGACCAAAAACTGTTCCTCAAACTTCAGTATTATTAACTCAATCACAATTAGCACATTTAAAAACTGTAGACTCTTTCATGTGTTAAAAGATGTCGTTTGAATCTTCCTTTAACATTTGTCTCATAATCACAATCGGCACATTTGAACTCCTTAAAAAATGTATGTTTTAAAAGATGTTGTTTGAAGTAGCGTTTAATATTTGTTTCATACTTACAATTGGCACATTTAAAATCCTTAGAAACTTTATGTTTTAAAAGATGTTGTTTGAAGCAGCGTTTATTATTTGTCTCATAATCACATTTAGCACATTTAAAATCCTTAGCAACTTTATGTATTAAAACATGTTGTTTCAGGCGGCCTTTAGCATTTGTCTCATAATCACAATCAGCACATTTAAAATCCTTAGCAACTTTATGTATTAAAAGATGTTTGTTAAAGTTGTATTTAAGATTTGTCTCATAATCACAATTAGAACACTTAAAATCCTTAGAAACGTTATGCTTTAAAAGATGTTGTGTAAAGCTGTCTTTAACATTAGTCTCATAAACACATTTAACACATTTAAAATCCTTAGTAACTGTATGTATTAAAAGATGTCGTTTGAATCTGCCTTTAACATTTGTCTCAAAATCACAATTAGAACACTTAAGATCCTTAGAAACTGTATGTTTTAAAATATGTTGTTTGAAGTGGGGTTTAACGTTTGTTTCATAATGACAATTAGCACATTTAAATTCCTTAGAAATTTTATGTTTTGAAAGATGTTGTTTAAAGCTGACTTTAAAATTTGTCTCATAATTACAATCAGCA